CTCAACCCCTGGTATGAATGCCGCAGACCAAATATTATTTTAAAACATTTTATTTTATTTAAAACACACGTTTCTCTTGTTTTCTCTTCCTTTTGATTGCATATAACAACGAACCATTTGGTCATTTCAGTTCTGATGTAAGTTTTGCCCCGCGAGGCCACATTTGTCCTCATCAAAAATGGAACAGGCAACCCTCTTCCATTTGGAATAATGCACGGCCGCAACGGGGCAAAAAACATGCGAACTAGTTTTGTTTCCTTCGCAGCAGCCCATTATCTTCTTTTTCTCTAGTCGAGGCCTCCTTTTCCTCAGCCGACTGCGGAAACTGGAGTAATATGAATCTTCCTGCGCGTCCTCCTTCTGCTCTCTGAGAAAATTTGCATCCCGCACACACTGCTGCGAGTGAATTATTCAGACCTGCCTATAGTTGCGATTTATAGCGCACATGCTAAATAAAAGAAATGCTCTCGCCGGAGATAAAAATAAAATAATAAAAAGAGGAAAGAGAGTGCTGCTGGAAAACTTTGTCGGTCGAGTTTATTAGAATCTGGGGATTGTTTTGCATGGCGTGAGGGTCGAATGTATATCGCAATGTTGTCGTGCAGATCCAAGCTTTCCAGATTAGAAAAAAAATAAAAAGAGAAAGTGGAGTTTGGGCGTATATTGTTTTCCAATATATTGGCGCTCCGAGTAATACAAAATGTGTCGCCGTTCGATCGACAGTTTCCTTTTTTTTTTCCTGAAATCTAAAAAAGCTCCTCTCCTATTTTTTGTTGACGATACACTTTAAAGACTGTGTACGTGTCCGTTCGCATGCAAAGTTTGTCCGCCTATAAGCGGCGGTCGTTTTCCTTTACGACGGGGTTACTTCGCCGAAAGTGTTTCGTTTGCTCAGTGAATTGAGAAGCTATCTATTCCATATTATATTCAATTTTCTTGCTGCTTCTTTTGAAGAAAACGATCAGAAAAGGTTTTGCCACTTATAAAGTATTTTTGCGTAGCAGACGCAAATAAATTCAGGAAATATTTATATTTCCTTGTGTCTGTTTCGTCTCCAGCAGGTGTTTCTATTTACAGAATAATATACTCCATAAAAAAAGGAATTATAAGCATTTAACCTATGAGAACCCAAGTTAACTTTTACTTAAAAAAGGAAAGTAAAAAATAAAATATTCTGATAATGGGAAAAAATTTAAAAAAAGTATTTGCCCCAGCTGCCATTTCGTTCTTATGTCTCAATTTCTATTGATAATTTGTTACATTAACTTTATTCTTGAGGCCTTTTTTCCCATGTCATATTCACGCTTAAAACATCGAAGATAGAATTTTGCTGCTTTTACAATAGCGTTTGAATACAATAAATAACTTGATTAGTTCAAAATTGTTTACTTTTGTAAGATAAATTCCATAAATTTGTGTTTAAAAAAAAAACTTAGATAAAATTTAATATATTTATATTTGAAATATAATCTATCGAATTTGAAAGGATAGCAGAGAAGGCGAGCTTTTGAGGAAAAACGCATCACGGGAAATGAGACGGTGCGCCGATAACAAGAAATCCCAGCCGAATTGGACTGGGATAAATAACGACAAGTCACCGGGGATCCACCCACCGTTCTATTAACACACGTTTTCCCATCTGTGGAAATAAGCCAACAATTTTTCTTACCTCGTCAGGCTCCCTCCGGATCCCTCTGCGCCTAATTGCATTCTACCCTGAAAAGCAGAAATCGGGAAAAGACAAACGCACGTTTCTTGTTTTCCTTGGCAAAAGGTAAACGCGAGTGATGAGATTGCGTTTCTTGAGTTAATGGCATATAAACCTCTGCAAGTCGGACCCGCATTAATATTCACGGCGTGCCATCTCCAGGGCGCTTTCTTTATGGCGCCGAAATGAGAAAAGAGATGGATGCGGCGCCAACCAGCATTCCGCAAATATCTCCTCGCCATTTCATTACAGACGTCTTTCGAGTCTTTGATCAGATCCCAAGCGTCTTTTTTCATCCCAGCCCTCCTCGCCTGCCGACAATTTGAGTGCCTAAGCAGGTCCTTTTCTTTTAAACCCAGAAAGGCTTTCTCGACTCAATCTCTTCTCCGCGTGCCTTGACACTTCGAGTCGCAAAATGAAGGCAAGGGTTTATCGCCCAACAACACATGTGCTGAATGTTAAAAGCATTGCCTTTCGCCTCCTTGATTTTATATAGTACAGCTTATAAATATTTGACCGGTCGTGTTGACATAAATATTTGATTCGAACAAAATTTATTCAATTATGAAAATTGAAGCCCACGTGCTCTTTTTTCTGTTAGTTAATATTGATTGTGAGTTTTACAGTAAAAAACTCCCGTTTTCTTAACACATAATTTTGATTAGTAATCGCTTCCTGATAGGCTAAAAATTTCAGCAAAAAGCGTTTCTACGTTAATCAGTTGCGTTATTTTTCCTTCGTGAGAAAAAATGATGGCAGCAGCTTCCATTTTCTTTATGTCTGGAAATTTGAAATAAGATACATTTTGTTATGTCGAGTTAAAGATCTCAAACTCTGTAATTGAATGCTTTGGCGTGGGCTTTCTTCGTGACTTTTGAGCTTTCGGAAAAATTCTGAGTAAAGAGCAAATCAAATTTCTTCCATTCTCAGAATCAAAACTTCAATTGATTTTGACTGATTTAAGTTCAAAACATTGCTTATAAGGATACCAGAAAGTTGGAATGGTATTGTTGCTCGTCAGACGCAGTTCTCGGCAAGGATTTTAGACTCTTGTGATTAATTTTCCAGAAAACCACAAGGACGTCTTTTTTTGCTTTATTTTGCGATTTGAAAATAAACAAAGATACAATGGGATAATTTATAATTTTTATGCGTCTCCTTTCTTTGTCGCTTGTTCAACTTTTGATCACGAACTGAGAAGGGATCGAAAGCTTTAGAAATTTTATATACATCAAAAATAATAAATAAAATAAATTATTTCTTTCCTAAATAGAAATTTTCAGCCACATAAATTAAGCCTGTCACATTTTAACAAGACTGATCCTTAGAATTTTTTATCAGAAATGTCTGAAAATATCTCTATTCCTGATAAATTAATAGCATTTGAACGGTTCAGAACCATTTTTTCACATGAGAATAAACGACACTTCCGTCAAACCGAGAGACATCAATCATATTTTGAGAGGCCGTTCTATTTTATGAGGAATCGGAATTTTTTCATATTCAAGTTTGTGCCGCTCGTAAATTTGGCGAAGAATGCACTAAAAAGCAGACAGTCGGTAATTTCACGCAAAACTACTCGCAATATGGCGCTAGCAAGACGTGGTTGCCTCAAAATTGGCTTTAGGTTCAAGTGTGGATGATAAAAGTTGTGCCGTGACGAAAAAAGAATGAAAAAGGATCAGAGAAATAGAGTGAGACGCTCCCAACACTTGACAGAATAAAATTATTGCTCCGAGATTGCGTGACTGTAAATAAAAGTGCCTCCGCCGCAGATGTGTTTTTATTAAATTGTGGATGAAATAAGGAAGGAGTGGAAGACTTGAGATGAAGATAATTTACCGGGAGAATGAATTTGATTTCAGCCAATATGGAATTGGAAATTGTGCACCGGAATATTTTGTAAACATCTGGAAAAAAATTATGATGAAATACATTTAAAGATTGTAAAACAAAATGTTTTAATTTAACTAGAAAATTTCCTAAAAATAGAGAAATTGTGGAATATTGATTGATATGTGGCTACTGAAAAGTATTAGTAAATTTTTAGCCTATCCAGCCATAATACTAAAATTGGGTAATTCGGCGAATCATGGAGACAGGGAGAGGCATTTTCATGAGCTCCACTTTGATTTTCACTTAAACTAAAACCTGTATGTATTTAAAGCTTCTTGGAAAAAAGAGAAGGAGGTTGAAAATTTGGATAATAAATATGTGTAGGTAATTCTAACTGAAAAGATACGAGAATCTGAATATTCTTGAGCTTTTCCATTCTTCTTACAATTAGTCCTACTCATGCACTGGCTGGTTGCAACTGGTTTATTTTTATAGGCGGTTTTTCTTATAACCATGGCTGTTAAAGGGTGTTTTTCCTTCAGCTGATTATCTGCTTCTTACACTTCTATTGTCAAGTGTTTTTGTGTTTTGTGCTTCCTCTAAATGTATTTTAATTGTGTATCGTTGAGCCGTTTTTTTTATATGTTTTATATGTAAAAATTTCGACATCTGTTTGTGGAAGTTGCTCTGCTCTTTATGATTCATGTTAGATATTTTATTGCCAAGCAGAACAATAAAAACATTCTGCATTTTTCAAGCTCAGAAATATTATCAAACACAGGAGCACAACAGTAACACGAGCTTTTCATCGCAGTCATTTAGATAATGGAAAATGCGCACAAATTTAAAATTAATTCAAAAAGCGTAGGATGAGGTTTCCTGACTTTCTAAGCGCTGTGTTCCTCTTTTTTTACAACCAGCGCGTATAAAGTAGGGTGTCCTAATTAAATACAGAGACGTAAAAAAACCTTTTAATGTTTAAACAAAATTTAAAAAAAGAAAGAAAATAATAATTTTCTGTAATATAGTTTTCATTTGAAAATACAGAGTGCAGATTTTTTAATTCATGAAACAGAGAATCTTTTCAAACGAAAATAATTCTCTGTACATTTGTAAAGATTGTAAAATAAAATAAACTATTTGCATTTCACGCTCAACAGATACGAATCTCCATTAAAAGCAGATTAATTTATTTGGATATCATTTAATTTTTTCTCACAGCTCAAAATGCCAGCAGTATTTGCTTGCAAATTATTTTATAGCGAAATAGAAGACAGAAAAACACACATGGTAAAGCCAGACTGATGAAATTTCCTACTGCCATTATTTGCAGAGTAGCAGGCACGTCCGCCACAGAACTGAATTTGAAACGCGCTTTTTGCCCCCAAAATGAGCGGAAACGTTTAATTGGGCAAGCAAACATTCTAATTTAATAAAAAAACTTTCATCTCGGTAGGTACCTGGCCATAGTGCGTCCGTTGCAGCCCAGGATGTCCAAGATGAGCGCCCGGGTCACAATAGTCGTCATATGGGTCGCGTCGGCCACGCTGGGCTTTCCTTGTCTGCTCTACTCGACCACCATCACGTACAAGTAAGTTGAGCCTCGTTATCAAGTCATTTATCAAGCTATCTCAAGACTTATAGTTAATTCGAAACACAGGGAAAAGAGATTTATGATATTCGGGTTTGCGTCGGTCTGCCTTTTTGATTTATTTTGGCCCTATAAATAAATATTGTACGGCGTATTCATTATTCTTTCTTTACGGTACTAAATTTACATCAAAATTCCACGTCAAATTGAAAAAAAATATATATTCTTTACAGGTTTATTCATTTAGTTCAAATGTTGTGTTGCCATGTGAAGTTCATATTTTTATTTTTTAACATTTTCGTTTATATTTCTTTTTGTGCTTCAAAACTTGCTCTAAAAGAGAAGTGTTATAAAGCGGGCCAAAAAATACGTAACTTTTGCTATTCAAAATTTAATTTTTTGAAAATTTTAAGCTTATTTGTGGGCTCGATTGCTTTCCTTCATGTATACTTTTTATCCTTTTTATGTCACAAATATTTTTTAACTGTAGGACTAGAGCAGTAAGGAGGAAATCAGATTTAAAGTAATAATTTTTCATATTAATAATCATGTTTATAATTTAATGTTTTGTTTTAAATATTTAAAAATTAAATAAAAATTTTAAATAGAAAGTCTTATCAATTTATGTATCTATTTAGTATTAAATCAAAGAAGCAACATACATCAATTCACTTCTTCAAAACTACTTATTAATTTATATTTGTAAATTTAATTTATCAATTTATAGACATGCAACTTGTAATAATAATCGCTGGTTCATTTTTTTCCAATAGTATTAAGTTTTCTTTGGCATCTCGATAATATCAGCTAAAAGTTAGAGCTTCAATTAATTGCCTTTAAAGAATTTTATAAATTAATTAATAATTAATTCCATGTCCCGCTTTTTAGTTGCTCAACTGGAAAATTTGCGATCTGATTAACGTTGATTAATCTGAACGCTATTAATCAAATTTGTTCTGGGCAATGTGAAATGCTGCGTTCAGGGAAATGTATTTCAATTAAATTCAAAAGAGCTGCGTGTTTAGCGTAGATATAGCGATCGAAGCAGCTTTTGAATCATGAATAGAAGACAGAAAATTTCAAATAAATTCAATCATTCCACGTGTATTGCAATGAAACTGCTCGTGCGTGAAAAAAATAAAGCAATAATTGAAAATTAATGAAGTTTCTGTGCTCTGCGTTGTTGCTATGAATGCGCTTAAAAAACATTTTGCATTATAAAAACAATGCAAACTCAAGGTCTCTGCAGAATACCAATTATATGGCTCAAGCAGATATTAATATTGATTAAATAAATGTAGGCTAACAACAAAAATAGTTATTGAATATTTTTAATTTGAATTTCTTATGGAAAAATTATTTTAAATTTGTTTTATTTTAGTTTCAATAATATAATTATACATAATGTAGCTCATAATATTTTGCTCGCAGATTATCTTAATACACTTTATTATTATTATAATTTCCTTTTGAATGGATTTTGTGTTTTTATATTATTTTTTAATATTTAAGAAAAATTCTTCTAGGAAATGGTAACCTTCCCACTGAGAATGTTAAAATGTCAATTTGCATTTTTACTAACAACTAAAAAAGATGGTGGATTGAATTTAAATTCGGCTTTTCCTCGATGGGTTTTTGTGAGTTTTTATTGTTTAAGAAAAACAATAACAATAAAAACTCACAAAAACCCATTGAGGAAAAGCCGAATTTAAATTCAATCCACCATGAATCAACCCTAGATCGTGAACTTCTACTACAAAACTAAAAAAGACTTTGTATCTTTTTATTCTTAGACTGTATCCATAAATAAAAAAGTCTAAAAATTAGAATCAATTCGATAATCACTTTCTCCACATCAACCTGCATGACGCTGTTTTGATTTAATTCAAACTGCTCCCTGTCTCTGTTTTAGGTCCAGCGGCGGCCAAGTCCGGACGGCGTGCATTTTGATATGGCCAGACGGGCAGCCGATGGTGTCCACCATGGACTACGTGTGAGTGTGTAATTTTGCGTTAACAAAGGCGGCCATTGTTCCACGTGAGTTGATAGCAGAGATCGGTCGGTTGCAATGCAAACGCTTTATCGACTGACCAAAGCGGGAGGGACCCGAATTGAATTTGCTATTATATCAAACATCAAATTTGGTGCTTTGTTTGAAGTGGTGTGTTTAACATAACAAAACAAAGAGAATTTCCAAATTTCCATCAAAATCACACCCGCGTTAATGAATTCTTCCGCTCGAATAATTTTCGTTACTGGGAGAATTTTGACTCTTCCCTCTTTTTGAGCCTGTGAAGAAAAAATAATTGCAAAAAAAATCGGTGTGTTTCCAGGAGGCTTGGCTCTTTTTCTCATTCTCTTGTCTGCTGATTAGGCCTCAAAAGAGTGAACACGACCAGAGATAAAAAAAAGCATTGAGCATAGTTTAAGATTTTTTTTTCGTACGTAGGCCGATAAATGTGTGTTTTTTTATTTTTTAGGATAATGAAAAGTTAAGCTGTTCTCTTAATGTGCTGCGATGAAATTCATTTTTTCGTTTGAGGAATACAAAAATATTAAGTAGATTTGTCAAAAATCTAAGTCTAAAATATTCTAAGCTATTTTAAGTAAGGCGACTTTTATGCATATAGTTGAGAAAAACCCATTTAAGTATTTTAAAGGTTTTCTTAATTTTGAGAAAATCTTTTGATTTAAGTTTAGAGTGATATACAAATTAATTTTACATATTTTCGAGAGCATAAAAACATCAGTACAATTTTGGAAACTTTGTAAAGGACATATATACATAAATATTTCTAAGTAGTAAAGGAAAAAAACATTGAAAAAAAACATACAGTGTTTTTTAAACACTTTCTTATGAAGGATCTTTTCTCAGATTTAAGCTTAGATTTTTCACAAAATATGTAAAAAAAATGCGTTTCTTTATTTTAAAATTGAGCTCGCAAAAATCTTTCTTTGTGGAATATTTTTACATTCATATTTTACTGAATATTTACTTCTCTTTTACATAAAAAATATTTTTCTGTTCAGGTACAACTTGGTGTTGTTCATCGTGACGTACGTTTTGCCGATGGCCGCCATGGCCGGATGCTACTCTGCCATGGGCCGCGAACTCTGGGGCAGCAGGTCAATCGGAGAACTCACTCAACGTCAGGTGGATTCGATCAAGTCTAAGAGAAAGGTGAGTGGATGCTCTCAGCTTAGATTAGGATATCCTCTCGTGAGGAAAAAACGTCGAGATTTTTCCCTTTCGACGAGGCAAAGAAAGTAAGCACGTCTTTATCTCTTTGAAATTTATGGCCGGGAGATTTGCTGAGAGAATTTACAAGCAAAAGTATGCAAATTTTTCTGCGACACGCACGACTGGATTTGCTTTGAATTTTTACATGCGCCAGAGTGTTTCTCTCGCATGCACAGAATTTTTTGTTGAAAAATTGATTATTTGCCCCGAGGGATTGAGCTGAGCAGCCTGCGAAATTGCATAAAAAGTGTTTCACTTTTCCGTCGCTTCGTCTACTTTGATTCATTTATGTGTTCATTCAGAGGCATTTCTAAGGGTTCCATTTCAGCCCAAACTTTTTTTCTGCGACATATCCACAGGTAAATTAAAGCTAATTTTTCTTTTGCGCGCAGAGGCAAGCCCTGCAGCGCTCTTTGCAATTTGTTATTTCAGCCACTTTTACGAGCCGACACTAAGCAAGAGTTAGAGCTCAGAGAAAGCCGTGCGAGGGGCCGGCAAAGTTTGTTTTCTGAAAGCAGTTACAAACTACACACATCTACGGCCACTTCCATCGATCACTCTGGTCGTGGCACCTTAATGGACACACAAACCTCGCGAAATGAGGAAAACGTTAACTGCTAGATTAAATTAAGACCTTCTTCAAATCCTTCTCAAGAGAGCGCTATTTTTGCTAAATTAACTGTAACTCGAAAGCTAAGGTGAATTTCGCTTGAAATCATAGGATCATTTTCAATAACTGATTTTTGAAAAATTATTTTGGAACAATAATAATGTTTATTTGGTTTATTTTATGTTTTAATTTCAAATATAAGCATAATGATTTGCTGATGATTTGCGTTTTTTTTTTCATATTCCTAATAAATTTAAAATTCATTTTACTTTTTGATTTATTTTCAATTTCGAGTAAGAAATAAGCCGATTATTTCACGAATATGGTGTAATTTTTGTAAACTTTTCATGAAATTAATGTATTTTTTTCTCTCTCTCATCATTTTTTAGTTTTCATATTTATAATTTTTTTAATATTTGGAATGTCTCGCTACAGGCAGAAATTCATGCCTTGTGGTACACCAAAAAAACTTAATTTACTAGTAATATTCAGCCATATATTATTCGCTCTAAACATGTACTTGCTGAAAAATTTTTTATGCCCTCTGCATAAAATATTTTCATCTCTCAAAGACATTCCTTTGACCACCCGATAACGCAGTGATGCTTGGCGTGTTTCCTTGATGCAGCGAGCAGGCCCGGTAGAACTTTTATGGGCTCAATTTGCAATTCAAAATACTCAGCTGAAAGCGAACTTCGCTATTGCCGAAAATCAGTTTTGGTTTCCAAATCAAGCACACATGCTTTTACTAGTTCCGAAAACACGATTTGCAAAGTCTCTAGATCTGCTCTAGATAAAATATTCACCTACACTGCAGCGTTCTCCTTCATCATTTTCAATTTTTTTCAAATGAGCCGTAAAATAATCCAGCGTGATGCATTTTGTTTCACTTGTTTCGGTTGGAAAATGTTTAAGCCACGTATATTGTAAAAAATAAAAAACACCCATGAGGCGAGTTTTATTATTTCGCGCTTGGGCCCGCGGGAAAGAAAATGAAAAGTGAGAGTAGGATGGGAAGGGGAGCTCCTGCCATGTTATAAAGATAAGCAAAGTGACAACCCCTCTTGCCTTGTTAGTATAAATTTTAGCCATTAGTGTTATTAAAACGTGTTGGTTCATTTTTTCGGTGTTTTAAAGTGACGGTTTAAATAACCATTTTAGAATAAGTCTCTTGAACTTTGTGCTATCGTGAACCGCGAGTTGCCCTCCGACCGCAATGTACCCATTTTCTAGATTTTTGCTTTTTCGTTGCCTGAATTGTGGTTTATTAACTGGTAAGGATAACAAAATTGATTAATTATTCTTAAGTAAAGATTTATTTTTTATTTTTAAGAAACATTTATATTTTTCTCAATTTGAAAATTTCCAAAACCTAATTTAATCCTCGTTCTCAATGACTTTTCAGGTAAAATTAATTAAGAGTGGGCAATAATTATGTGAGAAATCATAAAAAAAAAACTTTGAATTTTAAATGGAATTTCAATTTCCTATTGAATTAGATACAATTATTTACAATTACTGTGTAAATTATTGGTTTATTATGCATTCAATGAAATCCTGTTTTTCATAAAGTTAAAACAACTAATTATTTGATGGACTCTGAACTCTTATTAAGTTAAACTTTGTAAAATTAAAACTTATTAAAACGCCCGAAACTTTGTTTCAAGTCTAGAGCGGGTGAATAATTGAATTGCAAGCCGGATTTTGCCGCCATTAGTGTATTTCACCGAGTCTCAGACTTGCAATTTGCGTTGTTCAATTACAGCGCCGCTCTGCACGAAAGCAGCGAGTCGAAAATTTATTTCGCAAAGTCTCTCTTAGGCCGTAATCTTAAGAGCAAAGCGCTCACTCTGAGCGTCTCTCACGCGGCGCTAATAATTGCTTGATGTAAACAGACATAGAACCTTCCGTCAATTAATGTGGCCTGTCAATACTTAAAATGAGCGCTTTACTCACCGTCTCGCAGATAGGGCCTGTCTGCGAACAAACTGCGCAGTCACCTGCAAATGCAAAGATAATTAATTTGCGATTACAGTGAACTTATTTATCAAGAATATAATTCATATCAGTTTTTTATTCATTCGATTAATTTTTTAAATAGTCCCATTTTATATTGGATAATGATTTTTTTTCTATACGTAGCTATAAATATTTGCTCAGAAAAACTTTCAATTTTACAGAAATTTCAATCTGGCAAATTACACAGTTATTTTCGTGTCTTAATTATCTTGAGTTTGACGTTTTAATTCAAAATCTTATGACGCACAGGAATGTAATATAATCATGTGCCCTTTAATTCTTGCAAGCCTCGCAGGCACAATATTAAGCTCCATATAGCATTCAGATTTCGCTTTAATTATAATCATCTGTAACTCGACTCTCCCCAGGAGTGCCAAATTGCTCAAATAACCTTGAGAATTTTACGCCTTGGGCCAAAAATGATCTAATGCAGAGTTCTTGTTACAAGAATATTCTGAGATAAGCTAAATTACACTTTTTGGGCTGCGATCCTCCACTTCAATTTCTTGTGTTGCGACGAAGAAACTTATTCCATCTGCGATAAATCAAAGAAAAATAAATTCCAGCAAACAAGAAGCCATAATAAGAATTTTTCAGAATCAGAAGGGCCAACAAATTGAGATTCATTGGCTTTTGCTAAAATCCTGTATAATGGCTTTGTGCCAGTAAGATTTAGGTCACCAGAACACATATAAAAATTTAGAGAATGAAGTTAAAATATTGGTGATACTAAACGCCAATACTGAAGACATAGTTTCAAAAATGCGGCCCAATTTCATATCATTAGGAAAATAGCATAAATAAGATCGCAGACGTGAGTAGAAAATCTGCTTGAAGGAAATATAATTGCTGTTTGTTTTGTCGAAACACACTAAGGATAACATAAATGATTGTAAAGGGAAACGAAAAATGATGGCGGACTGAAAAAATCAATAAGGAAAACCCCAATTTTGCGTCAGAAATAATAAATGCATTGTCATTTTTTTTAATTTTAAATAAAACCTCTAGCCAAACAATGAGACCAATTTTGAACATCTCCATTAATCTCTGCAATTAAATTTTATAATTATCGTAATTGTGTGATTGACTGATTGTTTATTTTATACGTTGAATTATTTAAATTCAAAGTATACAATCAAAATACTTTTTTTTAAACTTTTTTACATTTTGATGAATGCTAAAAAATAACTTCATTTTCGTTCTTGCAATCAAATTATCTGAAAATCTCAAGGAAATTAGTGCCAGTTTGGGGAATTCCCTTTTTTTTTTGGTCAATTCCATTTGGGATTAGTTCTGGCTATCACAGGTTTTTTTTTACTCATAATGCTTTCATCCCCATAACTTTTGTCTGGGGTGCAAAAAATGGCTGGCAGAGAAAGATGCGGCCGCCGCCCGTTGGGAATTTATTTATGGTCGAAAAACTTTATTATATGCAGCATCTTTTTACTGCATTTCTATTTCGCGTGAGCTTTCCAAAGCCTGAGAGTGCCAGCTGGCAAAAATAAAGAAATAAAAGATATCTCAAAGAGAGCTAAATTGACGTCGGACTATCTTCAAAGGGGGGAAAATGAATTCCACGCTTGGCGCAGAATGCAGTCATGGCAACACAAAGGCAAAGATAAAACGCCCTCGACAGGGTGGCTTTAGATTTTTTGTCCGGAACGTAAAACCAGGCTGGAAAACTTTCGCCGCTGATTGCCGATAAAATGAACAAACTTTGGCAGCAACTTTCTGCCACACCGAAGTTGCAGGTAGAGCACGAAATAGGACACTTTTTATTAACTCGCTTCAAGTGATGCTCTTCACGGTGGCTGGTTTGCTTATAGTCAAGAAAGGCTTATTCGTTCTCCTGCACGCAGACTCTCAAGCATTTCCTTCTAAAGTGGAAATCCAAGGGTATGAATAACTCTAACCATATCAGCAGGCAAAGATCAAGTCCTTTTCCATCTGCGTTAGTAATTAATCTTGGCATATTCATATTTTTTACTGAAAGTTAACTGTAGTGGTTGATTTTGTGGCAAATTGAACCTCGTTGAAAAGATCAAATTAAAAAATAATCCTAGTTTTTAAAAGTGTCAGCAGACAGTAAATTGCTTTTTTTAACAAATTTTTTGTAATTCAGTGCGTTTAACTTTAGTTTCAATTTTTCTCAATTTCATTCTTAACTTTGCTTGGTATTTTCTAATGTTGCAAAATTGTAAATATATTAGTTTTGAAAAATTCTAAATAGCAATTTTCATTTGCATCTAGTTTTAAATAATAATAAATATTTTAATTTTCAATTGTTGCAGTGCAAAATTTTTAATATTCCAAAAGTTATCATGAAAAAATGAATTGAGCTGGAATAATTTGACCCCATATTTGCCGTCGATAAGTTTTCTGCAGCTAATGCATGACTTTACTGGTAGAGAATAATCTTTCATTGTGAGAAATGTATAGAGTTTACTGCATTTCTTATGCAGCGTTCAAAGTGTTCGCGTGAAAAGCACGGAAAATTTTGAAATATCTTTCTACACGTTGAAAGCACAGCCTCACTTTTATAGCAATCTTACGTAGAGTAAAAGCAAACCCCGAGAGGTACACTCGACGCAGCGGAGGCAAAGTGTAGTGCCGAGGTAATGCAAACTGCTCTGCTCAAGAGCTACATCGGTTGCATACTAGACACTTATTTGCCGCGCAGTAATCTACTGACAACTCGTATTTGCCGGCGCATGTTGGTTCAGTAACAATTAGTGGTAATCCCTTGAGTCAGATGAGGCAGTTAAAAGCACTATTAAAATTAAATAAATAACTTCAATTAAATTCACGCAAAAGTACAAAAATATTTTTTCAATGATCCAAAAGCTATGAAATGGAACTAATTCGTAGATATATTTGACGTTTGGCTGTGGAATTCACAATTAAAGACGATTTTTTTAGGTAAAATAATCATAAATTCATTTTAAATCAAATTTTCCACCTAATTTTCTTCAATTTAACAAGCAAATAAAAAATATGTCTATTATTAATTTTTATCAAAATTTAATCAAGGAGGTTAAATATTGTGTTTTCTTTTCTTTTCCAAATCATTTTTAATTTTGAAAAATTCACCATAATGAAATGAAATTTAATTTTACTTTACAGTTAAGATTTTACAATTTGTTTCAGGTCGTTCGAATGTTCATCATAATCGTGCTGATATTCGCCGTGTGCTGGCTGCCCTATCACGCCTACTTCATTTACACGCACCACTACAGCTCGGTGGCCTACACCAAGTATGTGCAGCACCTCTACTTAGCCTTCTACTGGCTCGCCATGGCCAACTCGATGGTCAACCCGCTCATCTATTATTGGATGAACGCCAGGTTCGTAACTCACTCCTCACGATTTATGGTCATGCGGATTTTTGTTGCGCTCCACCGAATTTTTACGGCTGGTCTTCGCTCATCTAGCAAGCTAAGCTCCGCTGGGAATGAGAATTTTCCGAGTCTCTCTCCCTCACGGATTACGTGTCGTTTTATTAGCTGCGTAAAAAGATGAAATGTGCACACTCGTAAAAATCTGAATCTGCCCCATTATTTATTTGTCACGAAGCCAGTTTGTTGAGGATTTGGGCTGACTTAAATACGTAATTTGACATTTCTCTTTGTAAAAATTGACTTAAGGCGGTAAAATATTTACTTTTTAGGCTGATACTTCAATTAGTCTCCTTTGCTTAAATTTGGCTTTTTAATTATAGCAGTTTAAATTTTTACTTTTCCATGCGAGTATAATCAAGTTATAAAAATTAATTTAATTTCATATTTTTATTGAAAAACTTGGTTGCAAAATTGATAACCGATATTTTTAATTTTGAAAAATAAATTGCAAAATGTGATGTGCAAAAGTTTGATCCTGTTATAACAGATCAAAATTGCGCTAAATATAATTTCAACGCTCAGAAAATTTGTGCGCCTCACTTGCAAATTTCGCACGTATGCAAAACCGAGCCGAGTGGAATATTCATCCACCGCATGCATCAGAGCAAAAAAGTGATGTCCGTTCGTTTCACCGCAAATTGAAAAGCGCGCGAGGCATGTTTGCAGAATTTCACGACGGGTGTGGCTGAGCGCAATTTGCACAACAATGTCCGTCGCAAAGGCAAAGAGCATTCGAGCTATACCGAGAGCCTCGTAAATCACTCTGGTGACGGCACGTGGCCGCGAGGCAAAGATCAGACCGTAACGGACACACGCTGAACAACCACACAATTTTGGCTGATTTACGACTTCATTACGGACGCGGTGAAATATTGGAAAAAAAAATCAATATTTATGGTCCAATGCGAGACAAATGAAAACTCGTTTTCATTCAAAAAGTTGTTTATTTTAAATTTCATTCACGGAAATAATGAGAAAATAAATGTAAACAATTTTGTCGTTATTCAAAATTAAAGTTTAATTTGGAAACTCTAAAATATGAATAAATATTTTACCTGACAATTTTTTATCACCATAACAGCATTCATATTGATCATGATACATGCAAAGGAAATATTTCATTTCAATTAAAAATCAATTTTTAATTTTTTTCTTTTTATAATAATCAGCAAGTCAATTGTTATAACAATAATGCAAATTATTTCTTTTCTCCAAATAAAAAAAAAGGCATTTTTCACTGCTTTATCAAAACTAACTTTTGATCATATTTTTGTATAAAAATTCCTTACTTTGTCTCTAGCTAGAAGTTTTAATTAATCCGTTTGTTCTGAGCTAAACAAAAACCCAGTTTTCTTTGATCTTTGCGTTGACAATCTCATTAAAAGTGCCCACCTGTAAGAAAAGTAACAACCTGTGTTGTCTCGTTTCCACTACCACTTCTGATAACAAAGCCTGATGCATTTAGAGAGACGAGATCCTCACTTTTGCTCTATAAATAAAATTTTCTATTCACCAACTTGTTGAATAATGGAATGGAGAGAAGCTTTCGGACGGGGTTAATCAAGCTAAGTGCAGGTTGTAAAGCTCAACATTGTCCGGCTATTTTAGTAGCACCTACTTTACAGATTGCATTTACGATCGCGAACTCCGGCCGTTGTGTTTCGGTGGCAGAGTTTTTATTTATGTAATATTTTTTTATTTATTCCTCGGTCTGCGCTGCGCCAAGGAGAAGCTTTTTTAATTCTCATAACAGACATCAAATTAGGAAAAAAAATTGCAGCTATATAAACTGTGAAGCTATAACAAAAGTAAGAATAATTAATAAATATCAAGAAAGCTTAATTGTCAATAAAAAAAGCTAGGAACCAAAAATTCTTCATTTAAAAATTGTAAAATGTGTAAATTAATTTTTGTTCTTCTGACGTTTGGATTTTAGTTTTTGGATTTGTTATTTTCTTTCTCCTTTGCAAGTGGTGGTAGAGTTTGTTTGCTTTTTCGGGAACACGTTTTCAGAACTCTGATTTGTTGTGTTTGCTGCAAAATTACGCGGGTGCCTGTATGTCTGTTTTGGTGCTCCCTAAAAGTATAAATCCTACGGTCTGGCTGCCCAAGCAGCGATTCTGCTCACGTGTGGGTGGGCAATGGTGAAGCTCAAAAGACTAATGAGGAATAAACAAGCAAAACGATGCTCGCACGATCGTAAAGGCTGCTTTGTGGGTTTTACCCTTTACAAGAGAAAGCATTAATTGTGGGATTTAAATTGCTTAAAAACATGCAAAATTTTTTTTTGATCATTTAATAATTTGAAAAGTTTTTATTTGCTCAACTTGAATCTAAGCATTTTCGTCTTGATATTTTTTTACATTTTTACAGAAAGTACAAAAATAACATTGTATACTTGCTATGTAGGGAGTCACAATATACACAAAATATCCTTCCCTTTTTTGTTGAGCTTTCAACAAATATATGCATTTTCAATTCCGCTGCGTCACTTTTCGAGAAATGAGTTGTCAAATCCTTTTTCGCAAGTTTTGCCCAACAATCAGAATCTTGACAGCGTGTCGACATCGCGTTTGAAAGCCATTCCATTCCAAAGCTGCAATCTATAGTGCTGAACCCACGTACCAGTGAAATGCTTCAATAATTTCACAGTGCTCGGATATTGTGTATTTTCTGGTCTAAATTCTGCACTCCATTGGCCGGCGAGTAATGACACAGAATTCAAAAGCAGCAGCCAGTGTTGTGCGGTAATTACATGGAGGGCGATTGAATTCAGCAATCAGCCAGATGTGCTCTCGCTTGTCGGCCTAATTTCAGCTCCATAAACAGGCGCGAAACTCGCACATAATTAATCCGGAATTAATTGCATTGGGATGAGAATATTATTTGAGGATTAAAATGTTAATTGAGCTTTTAAAGCAAAATCAATATTTTCGCTTATACACCAGTAATGGCCTTTTGGCAAATACTTTTAACAGGCTTTATTATATAGTAAATAATTTATAAATATGTTGCATTTATAATAATTATCTGAATTCCGGTTTTCATGGGAGGAAATTATAAACAGAAAAGTTTAAATAATTATAGCCTCCATTTCTATTGTTGGAATTAGAAAACCTAGCAGGGCTCCTAAAAAGTGGATAAAGATTCTAACCTGTCGATTGATTTAATTAAACATCCTTTCTTTCAGGCTTTTTTATTTTTAAAAAAAGTTTCAAGCAAATATTGAGTTTAAATTATTTATTAAATCAGACAACTTTTGTGAGCTAAAATTTGGTACCTTTGATATAAACTACCGCTTGGTGTAAACCAAATTTGAATCACCCCCATTAATCGCCCCCGGGCCATTATGCTTTCCACGCCCCTCTTATATTTATGACCTCAGCTTGTTGGTCAAACATCAAACAAAGCGCACGCAGTGAATTTACTGGTAAAGCGACGGGGAATGCCTATGAGCTAATTGGCGGACGTCAAAGCACCTGAGAGCACCAGACTGATTGATCAAAATTTGATAGGGTTAATTCTTGATGATTTGAATTTAATTAAGTTTACAGTGACATAAATTTAAGCTTTTACAAGCATATTATGATTTAATAATTATGTTTAATACTTAATAATTATAAATTACATAAATCAGGGGATATTTTTTTCAAATTAATTTATTTTGTCATAATCATTGGAAAAATAAGTTTTCACATAATTATTTGATTATGTTTTTAAAATTTAAATAAATTATAAAAAAGGGGAAGAATAAAAGTTATTTTAATTTTTCATAATTTAGCAAGTTTTTAAATGAGAATTATTCTTGAATAAAAAAAATTTACAAAACTGAAGCTTAAAAAATAAATATGAAAATCATTTCATTCATTTTATATTGCCAAGTCAGCACAATAAATTATCGAAGTAGATATTTACAAAATTGCTGATAGAAGAATACCTTTTAAGTAGTATATCAGTCTGAAAGTAACTTTTTAGTGCGATTTTCTATATGTCCTCGCGCATGTTTACGCCGTCTAGCAATAGAGCTTGTGCGCCTTTCCACTAACACTTTATCGCCAAGTCTGCCATTCCGAGCGAAATAAAATTATACGAGGCTATCCGGCGCGCGCTATTTGCCCTGCACAATTTATCGCAATGAAAAATTGAATTGTTCGCCTTGGTGCCCCCGAGGAAGAATCGCAATGGTTTGGCCAAACAGGAAGGCGGGCCGCGCAAAAAGCGCACGTCGGCGAAATTTATTAAGCTCCGTGTCGGTCGGGGTCTGCTGGGAGTCGACCCTGCAGGCCTGTGCCCTTTGAGGTTTCCAAGCGTTCTTGGCACCTTGCCTTTCCGCCCGTTTTATCTCATTGCGACACAAACTCTTAACAAACAGATTAAAAGCTCTTTCGATCCAGTTAATCGTGCGGCCGGAATGAAAAACGTTTGGCTTTCCATGCTGTCGCCAACCGCAGAGGTGCACATGGCGATTTTATAAAAATAAATTGGATTCGAAACTCGAAACACGTTTTTTCGTTAGTTTTTCCTATAGTTCGGAATGACGTGGTGAATTTTTGAAAAAATCTAAAACTACTACATAAATTGGATTTCAGACTATAACAATTTTCGTACGAAGGGGACTTTTTTATTGCCTAATATTTTGAATAGAAACCCGAGCACATTTATATTGTTTGCCGTAGTTCTTGGAGCCCTGGGGCGATATTTTCACGAAATTCTTACGCCTGTTGGACAAGTGGATATAAACTTGTCGCTTTTGAAAACAAACACTTTCCTTACAGAGGAAAATAACTTTCCACCTGGCGGTTTGCTCAAGAATGAATAAACCGCCTTGAGGCATAATCTGCATTTTCTCAGAAGGGAACACCTCTCGCAATAAAATTGATCGCAGACCAAGCAAAGTTTTTGCAGCATCGGGTGAACTTTCAAGACGCAACCCTTTGTGCGTGCTGAAGCGCTCAACCGCGTAGTAAATATTAATGCAAAGCCGCCGGGTTTAATTATTGGCGCAAAATAAATGTGGTAGACAAAAACTTGCTTTGACACATCAAAGAAGAAAATTACAGAGTGATATTAGAGCCGAAAATAGCCGAGAATATTACTTTTTGCTAAGCTTATGACTTGATAGTAATCAAATTTCAAAGGGTTCGAAGCATTCAAAGCTGCTTTCCGTTTGTTTGAAAAACGGATCCGATGATGCTACCCAAGACGATGGCACAATTTATGAAACAAAAACTATGACGGGGAGAGGCTTAAAGCGCGCCCACACTAACCTCTGCGTGAAATTTGTGTTTTCAGGTTTAGGCAGTATTTCAAACACGCGGTCTGCGTGTGGAATTGCCAGAAGTTCCGGAGGAAGGAGCCAGTGGTGCACGGAGTCGAGACGCCGCCCATGTTGGCAAGGTACAGCCATTCATACTCCCGATCGCGATCAGGTAATAAATTCATTTATTTCTTGCTTCATTTTATTTAAAATTTTGGTTCGATATAAGCAACAGGTCTAAACAAAACCTGAAAATTTACAAATGGCTTAAAAAAAGCTATCTTTAATTAATTTTTGTTATTATGCCAAAATACGATTCCAATAGATTTCAGAAAGTTAATTATTTATTAAAAATAAGTAACAGAGATCCAAAATATTAATATTTTGATTTTGTTTTAATGCATGTAAACTTATGCCGGTTTTTATTTTTCAAAAATAGTTTAGAATCATCTTCAATAGCATTAGCTAGAATCAGATTTATTCACAGTTCCATTTGTTTTTTCAATAATAAAAAACTGTAATTGGATCGACAATTTGTTTCCCCATTCAATTAGCTGCACGCTAAATTAATTTTTTACGAGAAAAGCTGTAAAATATGGTCGTAAAGGCGGCATGGCGCACATTAATAACTTTTTTGGCCACGCGCTTCCATCGTAAAAGTTGGCGCATAACGATTTATGCGCCAAATGAGCGACAATGCCTTTCCAATGCGTATGTTTCTTTCACAAAAACGTTTCCTCCACCAACAAAATTGAAGGAAGGCAAAAACTTTTCTCGGAAGAAATCAGCGATCTATTCACTTGTTTGCCCGATGAGAAAACGTATTCGACCCAAAGTCATGAAATTCCTTCCAAAACGAGTCGTTTTTCAGCATGCAATTTACCGTTTGGGAATTCTGCATCACATTTAATATTAAATGTCGTATTCATCTCACGTTTCGCTGAGTGCATTGAATTGTCCCACACATATGAGCTAAAGAGTTGCGTTCCATTCCGAGAACACGTCATTCAATAAAGCAGAACTCAAAGTATCATTTTTTTATTCATTTCTATTAAGAATTCGTTACTAGTTAGTGTGCATGTCTTCTGTCAATAGACAAAATGTAATGTAGGATATTAGATGATGCAGTTGAAAAACCTGCTTGCTGCCGCTCGCCGCAGCACTTATTTAATTTCACATTTGAAAAAACGTTACTGGCTTTTGCAGACTCAATTATTCCTGTATATTTAATATTTGATGAACTAATTAATTCAAACGTTTCTAAAAAGGAGAATTAAAAAAATGTGATGGTGAAATTTTTTAAATTTTTTCTACGAAGAAGATAAATTAAATTGAATCTTTGGAAAAAGTAATAACTTTTATACTTTTGAACATGGATCCAAGGAAGGTAAATTTTGTATTTTTAGCCCAAAAGAAATTTAAAAGAAGAGATATTCCTTATTCAACGAAATTGAGACACATTTTTCCCTTGCCGTCATTTCTTGGAAAAATCCTTTGTGAAATTCAAAGGACTGATTTTGATATATCTCTCACTACGTGACTCCAAAAAGATGATTGAATAAAAAAAAATGCTATACACACATATTTATCCACAAATAAAGCGGACAAATTTGAAGTTTTGTAAAAATTCAAAGTTGTAATCCTGATAAAAAATAAATGTCTAATTTTATGAAGAATTTCGGTAATCCCAGAATACTATCTCAAGTTTCAAATTCAAGCAAAGTTATTTGCATGTTCCAGGCACAGCTGATGATGCGCAACCGCGGAATGGTGGACATAGAGCCGCCTCGAGTAGCAACGGAAATAATAACCCTGGACGACAGGTGTGCGTGTGCATTGAGAACCCTCCCCCACCAATTCGAATGTCGCAAAATAGCAGCCGACCAATCCACGACCTCAGTGGAAATGGTTCCTCTGGCAGTCGCTCAGGACGCCACCATCACCATACCGGAAACCGACGGTGTCGCCACAGCAGTCGGAACAACAACGGTGCGAACGGTTTGAACAACGACCGGCGAGACCCCAATTATTGGCGCAACCGCAACAAACTACTCTTTCAGCTGAACGAACGTAGAGAGGACGGAAGTCACAGTGGTGGCGGCAGCGGAGGGGAGGGTTCGAAGGAGCAAGTTGAGATTTGCGAAATGACCACCAGGGCTCCTTCGACCAAACGTAAAGTGACCATGGAGACCTCCATTGATGTTTGACACAATAGGTATTAATAGTTCAGTTTTGGTTTTATTAACTGAAAGAAAGAAGATTATAAATGGTGAAAGTTTAATTATGTGTTCTGCATCTGCGCAATATGGTCGCTTCTTTGATGTTCCAATATGCAATGAGGAAATGAGTATTATATAGAAATCACTCGTCAGGAAAAAAAGGAGTGAAACTCACTATTTTGAATACTGTACTTGAAGAAGAAAGTTGTTGTTGCTCATTGATCAGTTCATGTGTAGTAAAAAAATAACAAATAATACATACTGTTGATTATTAAAAAATTTTACGGGCAATTTTATCTTTTGTAAAAATAGGCTGTATTCATACTCTAGTTCATACAAAAGGCGGGTAATTGGCACTAACAATAATTATTGTAAGGGCGATTCAAGGCGGTGTGTTGCAAATTTGTAGAATTCAAAATGAACTTCATATTTAACCAGAGTAAATGCCAATATAAATTAGAACTGGAATATGTAATAAATTTTATTTTAAATAATGATGATTATACCAAGCAGATCCCTAGAAGAAATGTAGGCAACATTTGCAACAAACCTGTAAAGCCGGTTGCATATTTACCAACATTTCAGGCAATGAGGGATTTAAGTTAACACTGACGTAAGAAAAGTTTGATTCAAAAGGAATAATATTGATATTAGATTAATTTCTTTACTCCAAATTGAACCGCCCATTTTCTCCTAACTGAGGCTGAGGATAAAAATTATCTCATTTGAATTTCCTGACTCAATTTTTTTCAGCTTAAAGTTATCTTAAACAGTCCTATAAAAGACGTTGCAATCTGTGTAAAAATATGTTTATTCAAGACGCTCCTCTCAATGTTGGTTGAACATCGTAAGTGTTACTTTTGACACCTTACTCTTGCTGTAAACGCTGCAATGCAGGAATATTCAAATTTTGACGTTGAAAAGTTTGCCAAAACTTTCCATAGGTGTGTGGGTATGTGCATGTATTTTGGAGCTGCGGATTTGGCCCGACGCTCTTTGCAGGTTAATGTGGTACATGCGCACGATTTTCGCAGCTGGGCGTAAGAGATAAGGCGCGGGCGACGCATTTGTCGAAATTTATATGCGGGGCATGCAAAAACGCTTAAAAATATATAGGCAAGCGTGGAGAGTGAGAGGCAAAGAGAAATGACGATTGAGCTGCCAAATAACCAAGTGTATATGTATATGTAAAGCAGCCGAATCGCGGGATGTGCGAATAAAGCCGTCTGGGGCATTTGCATGTCTATCTGAAAAAAAAACGTTTAGTTCCGGACAAAATTTGTAAAGCTCAAACTGTTGCTTTTCCCACGTCTATCTCAGATAACCACAAGGTTGACGCTTGAAAATCAAAATAAATCAAATAGGTTCTAAGTTCTTTGCTCAAAAGTGATTATTAAATCTAAGTTCAAATTAATTTTTTTCTGCCATTATCTTGAGCAGATATTTTAGAAAACAATGTCCTTGTAATGTTTACTATTTGCTCATATCAGTGCGAGTAAGGACCACTCTTGATATATATTGTTTGTTGATAAGAGACTGCCGCCGCTCTGATTTTGATGTCGAATTCACAATAAATACACGACGGAGAGAAAATTCCAAGGATAATTTGTGTGTCTGTGTATTGTAAAAGAAAATCAATACTCATTGAAGGCCCATGTGAAAAAGAGAATGTTAATATTAAAATTTTGAATCGAACAACTTGAGAACTGAGACAGGGTAATAAAACATCTAAAATGCTGCTTCTGTACAAAATACGTCAAGGTGCATTTTATTTCCCTGTTTCCTCCTCTTCTTGAAGCAGAAAATTAAGAAAAGTAATTTGCCTTGAACTTCAAAGGAGGGATTAAAATTAGGTAAAAAGGAGAGTTCAAATGGCGTTCCAAAAAAGCTGCTTGTTTTCTCGTCCGGAAGATCAAAGAAGCACGTTTTAAATTGCAGCAAGAGAATGTTTTCGATTAATTGGGCAAATCGCTAATTACGACCATGTGCGCTTTATTTGCAGAGGGCGATGGGTTGATAATATTTGGCTGTTTGTCCTGCAGCCAGCTAATGGATTGCTGGACATAAATTTCCAAAAGGCTAATGGAAGCGGATTTCCAACAAAATTTACCATGCGGAGACAAAACCAACTTGTATCGGAAAACGGGGGATTTGCGCTACCTGGGAAATGGCATGACCGGTCATAATTTGGCAGAGAGCAACAGTCGATTCAAGGGGAATATCTACATTTTTGGAATAAAGCTGCATATTTACGCCAGCAAAATTTGTTGTAGTTGGTTGGATAATATATAAAATTTAAAGTTTAGGCTTATTTTTTATAATGATCATTAGAAGTGGAACTAAATTTTAACTTTGTAAGCAAATTTTTAATATATTTTTGTTTGTTGATTTTAGTTTAAATTTAATTAATTTTCCTATATTTTAGTCTCTTCATTAAGATATTAATATAATTTCCTCTTTTTCGTCCGACTAGAAAGTCCATTATGAAAGGCGCTCTCGGATTTCAGCGCAATACAAAGGATCTGCCAAAACGGCTGTGCGGAGAGGAAATTAAAATTAATCACTCTCCCCAATCGTTTTCATTAGGTCCATTATAACCCTTCCGCAGCTTTTCAGACCAGCTGCTCCGTCGCCACACTTTATTTATTCTCGTCGAAACTTTTGCTTTCCACACCCGGCAACGCTTGAAACTTTGAAGCACACAGGATGATGAGGTTTTGCTTGTTGTTGAACATAAAAAACACAATATAAGAATAAAAAGTATGAACTACAGCCCCAGTTTTCATATATTTTTTTACGACAGTCTGTGTTGGATGACGAGTTAAACTTTTTTGACACAGTGCAAGAGTGGAATTCGGTGTGAAATGATTTTTAGTAAAATAACAGAGCAGCCGCAGGAATTTATCGGTCATGCGAAAAATTGGAAATAAAAGTAATGGTATTTAAGCTCTGACTTTTTGCGCGTGATTAGATAAAAGGCTATGTACGGAGAGCAAAAATAAGAGGAATTTCAGCGAACGTCATGCCCTCTCCCTTTTCGGTGTGCGACGTGGCGCAATGAAATAGCACTTGATTGTAATCTCGAGTGGCCGCCCGAGGATGAACGCCGCAAATCACGCGCACATTGCTTTGATATCGACGAACGTTTTCAATTTACTTTGAGTTGATTATTTTCGCCATTCAGCACCGAATTCCCATTTATTTATTTTACGCTTAGAAATGAAAATCAATTTGGCTTTAATTTAGATTAACGACGCGGAAAGCTTACAGAAACTGGTTGAATGGAAATTGTGATTTTTTCCATTTTTTTTACTTCATCTGCCCCGTTGGCACATTTTCCAATTAATTTTCCACTCAAAAAATTGCAATACTTGGTTTAATAAGAAGCTGATTGTTATCTTTCTTGTAAGACATTGAGACAATAAATCACGACTATGAACGAGTTTAATTTTTAATTTTAGATTACGTTTACATTGATGGGGCTTGTTGCTGCAGATAACTCTGAAGACGTTATTTTTCAGGCCAACCGATAGCTATGAACGATAAGTAAAGTTTCGATGTGAAAATTATTCGCAATAAAATCCTGAATTTTATTTTTTGAATATATGTATATTCTGAGTGTTCATAAAAAATGCAAAAATTAAGTATTCAACGATAATTCCTTTCTAACTTTATCAAAATTAAAGTCTAATGTTACATACAAGTGAAGAAGTCCGGCTTTTCCTCGTTGTAAAAAATGTTTTTATTGAAAAACAAAACGGCTCTATATCAGTTTTAGTCACGCCTCTGCAATCTTATTTCATGAGCAAGAAAAATAAAAATAAAAAAATCAGCAAAAACTAAATAAGAAAAAAATACATTAAATAGAAAAATATTTCAATTTAGTATTTTTTTCAGACCGAAACTTGTAGATGCGGTTTGTTTTTGAATAAAAACAATTTGTACAACAAGGAAAAGCCCGTCGTCTTCAATTTCAAAATAATCTCCTCGAGTGTCAATTTCTTCAAAAAAATTTTATTTTATATAATTAGTTTCTATGATCTACTAGAATTAACTGAAAATCAGGTACCTAACCTATTTTGCAAGAATAAAGGTACATTTTAAATGAAAATATTCAAAATCCTGAAATTTTGTACTTTTCATTTTTGCGTTTCACCCTTTGATATTTTTCCATTTCAGTAGCATAAAATATCCTTTGTGAATTTTGAGTGACAGGTGCGAAATCGTCTGTCATCTTCTTGGATTTTCTATCACAAGGCCGCATTCTCACCGTTCATGTCTCCTTCACAATCAGCTTTGACGCCACATGTGGCTCGCTAACACATGGCAATTTGCAAATAATAAGCACTGAAGCCAGAATGGATTTATTGCGGAAAATCTCTGGAGCGAAATTCGCAACAAGATTGAAAGCAGAGGAGAAAGAAGTACGCACTCAACAACAATAATAACTACCTTGTTAAGGGATAATGCCGGGAGAGAAAAAAATCAAGAAAACCAAGGCTGATCTTTCCATAATATGTGATGGGGGGTAAAAAAAAACGTTGAATTTGTAAAAACTGCACAATTTGGTCAATATCAGAATATTTCCTTTTGATTCCATCAACTTTTTCAGATTAAAATATTATTTTGTCAGACAAATTGACTTAAATTTGGTAAAATTTAAGGATAAAAACTCAAGTTCAAAAAATATATAATGTAGAATTATTTAATTTTCTTCTTTCAAGGTTAGAATATTTTTTAGCGTTGGAATCGCTTCCCCATGTTTTAAACACAAATTTAATCGTTACTTCTCTTTTTGAAAAAATCAACATCTTCTTTGGAAAATTTAATCCAGTATCTTCAAACGCTTTTGCCTTTTTTAAATTTAAATGTGATTTCAATAACTTTTAATTAATTTCAAACCCACGTAAACTAGCAAAAAAATTAAAAAGTCAGTCTATCAATGGGGTCATTTTTAGACAATTATCTATGGTGCTCTTTGGAATTTGGCTGAAAAAATTTTTTCATTCAGGCTTCATCGAGCTGTCAATTGCTGGCCTAATTAGCGTACTTGTGATTGACAGTGAGAAAAATTGATTGACTTATCACCATAGGTAATAATCAGTTTTAGAGAGAATATTCACATAGCAGCCAATTCAGAAGGCAATTCAAATCAAGTGCACGCAGAGACCACACGTACGTACTTCAATTGGCACAAGCGATTTTGTAAATTTTTTGGTTTTGGCCATTTTTCAAAAGTTCTACAAATCACGACTAGATGTCAATTTTGGACAACTTGTCAAATAGACGAAGAATTTTCGGAATCAAAGATTCAAGTGCGAGATAATAATAGTGATTTTGATTTGACCGTTGCTTGTCCATCAAAATTAGGATTAGCACGCGAATATCCGCTGGATTCTTATGACGCGACAAAACGCTAATCTTCTGATTACAATAAAAAAAAATAGGTGACGAATTCTCGCATCTTGTTCGACGTGTTGGGGAGAGTGCGAACAAGTGTTATCGCCTGAGGTGTGAACGATTGATCTTCGCCGGGCCTATAAAAGCAAACAGAGCCATTTTGAAAAAAGCAGTTTCTCATCGGGAAGTCTAGTTAGTTCTCGAGTCCCACAACTGACGAGGCCGTAATGAAGGGTTCGTGTTTAGATCAATATGGATTAACGGACTAATTAACCAAGCCGTTTGCAATTGCAGCCATTAAGGTAGCGCTCCTGTGTGTTCTGCTGGCAACGGCAGTCACTTGCCAAGGAGGAGGTGGCGGAGGCGGAGGAGGTATTTATTAAATTTTTAATTCGGAAGTTCAATTTAATACAGGAGAATTTTCAATTTCAGGAGGAGGCGGAGGCGGTGGTGGAGGAGGCGGAGGTTTCATTTTTGCTTTTTTTTTCTCACAATATCCTCCACGTTTACTTATTTCAAACAAATAATAAATTACAAAATTTAAAAAAAAAAAATCCAAACGTTAACAAAATAGCCGTAAATACTTATTTTACGTAAAATGTAGTTAAAGAATTTTTTATTTTCCGATTCTCATAAAATGCTGCTTTTAAGGTGGAGGCGGTGGCGGCGGCGGTGGCGGAGGAGGCGGAGGTTTCATTTTTGTTTGTTTTATACACTTTTTCCAAATTTCTAAGACAAAACATCTTCAGAAACACTAAATTATCGACACATACAAGCATGAAACAAACATAAAAGAAATAGCCGCAATTGTACAAAAATTTTAACTCTCCATTCAGATACATTGAACACTACATCTTATTTCAAATCAATAGATCAATAAAGCAGGTCAATTAAATTATTATATTATTTTAAGGTGGAGGTGGCGGCGGCGGAGGTGGAGGTGGAGGAGGAGGCGGAGGAGGAGGAGGCGGCGGTGGAGGTGGCGGAGGGGGCGGAGGTGGTAAGATTTCTACATTTTTATAATTACTATGAAAAGAAAATAGTAAGCAAATTGAAATTAAATAATTTTAAATGTTTATCATAATTTAATCTCGATGAAAAATTTCACAAGTAATCCTGTTTTTAAACCATTCCGTTAAAAAGTTCTGTGTCAGGCAACTTTTCCTTTTTTATCAAGGCTATTCGATTTGAATTTTACTCTAATTTTATATTTCAAATAGCAGAAGTCCAACATCCAATTTGATTATGTTAAAAAACCTGACAAAAAACAAATCAATTCATTATGATAAGCAATAGAATAGAAACTGATTAATACCCATTCTGAAAATTTCAACTGATAATATATACTTATTTTGTGACACTCCAATATCATGCATTGATATCTGAGATTTTCCATCACTCACTTGACTAAAATACATGTTTTTTAGAATATAAAAGATTTGCTTTGATATAAATTAGTCTAGGTGATGTACAGATAATGCGCCCTCTTTGAAAATTCAGCAAAAACGTACATTTTAAATATCTTCTAAGTATATAACAAGTGTTTACGACTTTGATTGATCTAGCCGAATAACAAAATACAAAGTTCAAATGGTTGTGCACACGTCCTAATTATAACAAAATTTATTATCACGAACCTGCATATTGCCAACATCTTTGATAGACAATCTATTTTCGCAGAGGTTGTGATTTGATGCCAATAATTGATAAGCAATGTTGCATAAAACGTTGAAACCTGGACAAGAAATACTAAAAAATAAAAATAAATTACAAATAAACAAAACAGAAATGTTCCTTAATTGCTACGAAATGATTTTTTGGACAGTTAATAGGTCATTTATTTTATGTTTGCATTAAAAATATTAAGATTAAGTTTAAATTTTATTTCAGGAGGTGGTGGCGCTGTAACGGATCCTTCTTGCGGGTGCGTCGTGACAACCACACCAGCACCGTAAGTTTTTACTGCCAAATTTTGATAAACATTTTCCCTGATATATCAAACAAAAAACAAATACGCAAAAATATTTACAAACATTTTGGCGTGGGAAATGCATCCATAACACACAAAGAAATTTTCAGATGTGTCACTACTACAGCATGTCCACCTGTTACCACAACTACAACGCCTTGTCCAACGACTAGGTACACTTAATATTAATCACATTATTTATATACTTACTCGAATTTTTATCTTCTCAAGATAAATTCAAATTTGAACTTATAAAAAAATTAATATGAAGTTAAAATAGATTAATAATCTGCTTTAATTTATGTAACGGCCTTATGTTTTCACATATTTTTACTGTTGGTCATTTTCCTCATTTAAATTTTAAAAATGAGTTCAAATTATATCTATCATTAATAATACTCGGAAATATCTCTCACAACATTAAGTTGAGCTTTAACATATATATATACATACACAGAACACAGACTTAACAAATTATCATGAAACTTTTTCTGCAGCACAACTACAACACCTTGCACAACCACCACAATAAGGTAATTTTCAAATAACAGAAAAATATACACTTCTTAGACAGTATGAGGAGCAATTTACACAAAAGCAAAATACACTCGTTAGTTTACAGTGCAAGCAAAAAACCTGACAAATTTTTAAATGCCTTTTCTTTAACTATTCTCAATGAAAACATAGAAGATATTTGTTTTTGCATTTTATAAACATACTCGATTAAAAATTACAAACTTTTTCGTTTAAATTCACCTACACTGTTACACTTCAGTACAACTACAACAACTCCTTGCACTACAACAACCACAACACCTACCACAACTACCACAACACCTACTACAACAACTACAACACCAACCACAACAACTACAACCAGGTAATGTATTTACAACACATACACAAATTATTATAGATCAATAGACTCAAAAGTAACCCAGACCAAAAAGTACTCCGCTTCGAATGCGGACAATAATACCCCACTGAGGGCTTCCGAAACAGTACTACCGACTATGAAGTACCTTATAAAAAGCTTAGAAATACTTTTCAGATATTGTTTCTATTTAAATTATTATTGCTTCGGTTTATTGAATTTTATGAAACTGTATAAAACAAATACGGTTCTTTCTAGCTATTTGAAAGCTATTGAGATTTTTTGAACAAATTTCAAAATTATTAAGTAATTAACATTGTACTATTATTAAAAAAACCTTCTTAATATGAAATTCTTAAATTATTATCTTTATAAAGGTTGGCATTTAAATTTAAAAAAAAAATATTATTGAGTTCATTCTTCATTCTACTCAAAAAATAAGTTGATTTTAACAAAATGAAACTTACTTAATTGAGCAATGAAGGTAGAATGAGTGAACTTTAATTGCTTGCCAGGTTTAACGCAACATTAGAGGGATTGGTGGATCACACTAACTTTTAGCTGTAGTAACATAGTACAAATCTAGAACACAAAAATACTTTACACACAAAATTCACAATGCTTCCCGTATTCTCCTCCAGTACCACAACGACACCTACTACAACAACTACTACACCTACTACAACCACAACAACTCCAACAACCACTACTACAACACCCACTACTACAACAACAACCAGGTATTTTATTCACAACACATACAAAGTTAGGGCAAAAAAAGAATTTATTGATATCTTGAGAGCTTTGAAAATAGTTTTGGCCGTTTTTCAACCTGCATGACCAATAGAAAATTGCATCAAATCTTTTCAAAAAAGGTAGAGAGTATGAAATCGTGCTGGAAATTCAATAAATATATTCATAACTGAAAAGTCATATGATACATACATCCGAATCAAAAATGAAATCATATTCAAATACATTTTCAATCTAGTACAACAACCACACCTACTACAACAACTACAACGCCAACAACAACTACTACTACGCCAACAACAACTACTACTACGCCAACAACAACTACTACTACGCCAACAACAACTACTACTACGCCAACTACAACAACTACGACACCAACAACTACGACTACAACGCCAACGACAACTACCACTACACCCACTACTACCAGGTAATATTCAAGAGAACAGAGAAAATTCAAATAATAAGTTTCTTTTTCAGTTCATACAGAGCAGAGTTATTACATAATATATTATTTGTATCTATTGCTAACAAACATTCTGATATAAATCATAAATCTCCCAAACACTACAGTAAACGCTTTTATATATTTCTGGCTTATATTTATTTGTAAAATATTCAAGTACTTATTGTTTATTGTTAAATAATCCAAAAACCACAAATCTGGTGATCCAAAAGGCTTTAACTTGCTCAGAGTTAACTTACCCATTGACTTTTAGTACTTTTACACTTATTGTTAGCCACATTGCCAAACGCATGGAGAGCTAGAGCTAAATTCAAAGGCTAATTTAACCGTACTGGATAATTTTAAGTGACCTCGGATAGGTTTTTGTAATTATGAAATCACCCTCCACATATTATTAAAAATAACACATCAAATATATTTATACACATTGCCACTGATTTTCTGATACAATTTGCATTGTTATTCAGAACAACAACCACCACGACCACTCCGACGACAACGACACCAACAACGACAACAACAATTGCTGACCCTCCTGCAGACCCTGCACCCTACTGCCCGAGGATGGTGCTCGAAAAGTGTGCCCAGGCTGAAGACGTGACCTATTTCAACAAGCTTTTGCTGCCCTACCCTGGCGACTGCACCCGCTACTGCAGGTGCGTGCCCCAGAAGGCCCTGCAGCACCGCTGCCCAAGAGGTCTGCACTTCAACGCCGACCTGCAGGCGTGCGACTTGCCGAGCTTGGCCAGGTGTTCCGTCACCAGCACGCTCCAGAGGTTTCAGTGAAAATGTGATGTAATCTTTAAAACATAATTATTTCCGTAATTATAATAAGTTAAGAGCCTTGCAATAGAGTATAAGAGATTTAAACGTGCATGAAGTGTATTTGTAAGATGTACAGTGTAATTTATTGAATAAAACTTTTCTTAATAGGATCTCCTCGTCCCAGAAGTTTTTCAATTAGCCCAACCATAGACAGGTGAGAAATTAAACACCTGAGCTAGAAACATAATTTTCTTGCAATACCCGGGTAAATGCCTAATTAAAACAGAGAACAATATATTTTTATCGATTAATAATGTGATGTATTAATTTTTCGTTTCAATTATAAAATAAACTCATTACTACTCATTAAGCTATAAATATTTCTGGAGAGTACCTAAGACTCTTTCAAGAGGCTATAATTATCTTATCACCCCCCCTTACTAGGCGAACTGCTGGCCCAATAATAATTGTCCTTGTCCATTTCACGTGCAATGCACTCGAATATTCAATGAAAATAGTCAGGTGACGTGGAAATCACGACTCTCGAACATATTTTCTTTGCGTGGGCGACAGTCGGCCAGTGCAAGCAAATCTTCTCCTCCTCCTCCTCGAATTTCTTATCACTAAAGAATTTCAAACTACTTGACGAGGGATCGTTGCTAATTCGTGATAGCAAACAGCCAGAGGATGGTTAAAGGTACATACACACTTAAAATTAAGCAGTTCAAGTGCGTGCGTCTATTGTTTTTCCTCCCTCCCTATTGGTCAACGAATTAACATTGCTTTTTATGAGGCACTTGACGATAAGTGCTTTTCAATTATATCTTTAGTAAACAAAAAAGTCTAACCATCTCCTTCAATTCATAATTGTTAAAAAATATTATCAAACCATATAAAGATTAAAAATTTACGAAATTTAACATTTTGCACGTTGCCAAATTAATATATATGCCAAAATTTTGCTCGATTTAAAATTTTATTTATTGCACTAATTTTGACACCAATTTGAAAAAAAATTAATTTTATAAAAAAAATGCCATCTCATCTACACTTTGACCTTACACAGCCGCAAGTTTTCTGGTCGGCAGCAAAACGTTGTTTCTTATTCAAAAGTGAATGCACAACGGTGCTAGTGTATTTTTATACAATGGGAAAATCTTGAATGACATATCATTAGGGGCAAAGAAAGTGCCATACCCATTACGTAAAAGAGCTGCAAAAAGGCAAACCGACACACAATGCAGAAGCGGCGTTCCTAAGGCCCCTTCAGCTGTACATCTAATATATGTATTAGTAAAAATGTCGGTTTTTTTGTGCATTTTAAACTGGATTATCAAAACTTAGTGAGGCGAAATATTATATTTTGTTTTCATTGGGCTTTATTCTTCGCAACATTACTGAAAGAAATTTAATATTGAAGACCAAAAAAATACTAATTTTATCAAATAATTCCTTGACTCATTTAAAACAAAATACTCTCATAAAGCTGTTTCAATGTAAAAAAATTACATGAAAAGTAACAAAATACTAGTTCGAGTGAAATGTGAAATGAAGTAACAAAAGTATTTTTTATAATTATAAAAGAATTTGCAAAAGTTAATCTGTAAATTAACGCTTGGAGCCTAAATTTTCTGTTATTGTTTGAAATTTTGCCTGCGCATAAATGGAAAGCAACAAATTTTTGAATGACTTACTAATCCTCTCAGTGCTAATTGTAAGTCAATATTGTCAAACAATTTGTTTTAAATTTACAAATTAATATTTTTAATAAGGAGAGTCCAGTATCAGAAAGAGTTCAATGTAGTAAATTTTCCCATACAAAACGATACTTCATTTCAATTACTCTATTTATTATGACTGGCTTTCCTTACAATTTTCCATATTATCCAGAATTATGTGTTCGCTTTATTTCAACACATACAATTACTGTTATTGTAATAGTTATATTTTACAGGAAACGTCACTTAAAAGTTGTACACTGAATAAATCTTTCAAATCTTTGAGGAAAAAGGCGTTACCAAATTGAATCCAACAATAAAATCCCAATCGCATTTACTCTCATTTTAAGCAAGAACATAAATTTCAGAGTGGATTTTGATACTTTTATTGCCCGCGCTGATTTTGCCATTCGCAAACACCCATAAATCAGACCCGCTTCACAGGGGAGGCGGTGGTGGAGGAGGAGGTGGTGGAGCCGGGGGTGATGGAGGCGGCGGCGGCGGCGGCGGAGGTAGGTCATAAATTGTATTACATTTTCATTCAAATCCAATACGCGCGCGTATTTTCTGATCCTTTTATTGCTGCGCCATTATTTTAAATTTCAGGCGGCGATGGCAGCGCAAACCAAAATCAATTCCAGCCTCCTTCGCGTGAGCAACAGCAGGGAAACACACCTGGCGCAGATGATTTAATGTCATTGAACAACGCAGTCCGCGTGATGAAATATATATTTGAAACTATTGTGAAATACGTTGTGAAGCAACTTTTTGCTGGGTAGAAATTGAGGTGGAAAAATTAATTAATGCAATAACGTCAATAACTCATATTTTATAAGGCCGCTTGAATTTTTTTTTTATTAAAAATAAAAAAGCTCTTGTCGCTCTACTTTACTCTATATATTATTTCATAAAATTTTCCCTGTTTTAAAGATATATAATTTTATATTAAAAAAGCCGCAATATATATTTGTATTGACTTAAGCAGATATTGTTGCTAGCTCTGAAAGAGACCTAAACATTGAAGTTTTGCTATGCAAAATTATATAAAATTGAGAAAACAAGCAGTTCGGATTGAGACTTTTATTTCTGTTTAAGGCATTCCCATCTGTTTTAAAATTAAAACAGAAAAAGTACAAGACTCGGAACATTTATGTTAACCTTATCTTATTAGAGTTGATTAATTTTTTTTATTTTGTTATATAACAAATTAAGGCCATCTTTTCCCAATACGGTGCATGAACTATTCTATCATTTTAATATGTAATTTTAGGCTGTTTAAATTATAAAAAAAAATTGAAAAAAAGAGTAAAAACAAGATGACCTGTTGGTCCAAAATAATCAAATAACAAACTACTATGCGCAGTATAGAATTATCTAAATTTAAATTATTGCAGTCCCATTGGCAAGGCACTTGTAACTAAATCTTATCTAAATGGTAATTGCGAGTCATTTTTTTTTTGCTCATTGAAATTTTCATTGAAAACTAACTACTTCAATTTTTATCTCGAGATCAATGTGCATTTTCTGTATGATACAATACAATTTAAAATCATTACATGAATAATTAACTTTGTAAAATGAAACCTATCTGCGGTTAAAAAGGGATATTCAGCAAACAATTTGTTATATTAATTGAAAGTTTAATTGAATTTTGGTAGACCGAGTGACTGAGACAAATGATCTTAAAAAAAAAAACGTTTTAGGCTCGCAATATTATTTCTTTTTTTATAATTTTATGAAAAATTTTCTCTTTTAATATAAAATAACAACATATTTAATTGCTCGAGGTTACTAGACTAAAAAAACAAAAAATTGACCTGTTTACGGCATGTATGGCTGACTTGGCGTTTTTGACTTAATTATGAGTCTCGTGGGTCAATTTGCAAAGCAAGAACGACAAGGAAACTTACTTTTCCGGCGGCGAGGCTGACTGGCTTTCGAGCTGCTCTGCCGAATCACTTCTCTGCTGCGCTACCTGGATCCTTCTCACGTTGTATTTCGGCCGATTTTCGCCTCTTTCGGGCCGAATTTGGGCTCCTCAATCTAGACCCCGGCAAGGCACCATGCACTCTGTGGACAAAGAAAGCCATTAATAATTATATACGTATACTTTAAAAAAAAGGGATCAGCACAGAAATAATTTTCTGTGAAAATTATTTTCGGTTTCAGGGGAAATAAAACAATAATTAGTAATTAACATTAGAAATTAAAAAAAAACTCCTTTCTCAATTAATCATTTCCATTGAACACAAAAAAAAAAAAAAAATTACTTTCAATTAAAACAATTGATTCGTCGTCAACGTTTTATTCCGCGCGGAAGACATTTTTTGAAAATGACAAATAAACAACATTTGAAGGTTTTATCCAAGTAAGAGAAAATTGGTCGTTGGCTTCAGAAATACAAGTTAAGTGCTACGGACAGGAAACAAATTTTACTTCAGGCGCCATCCTCTGCTTGACGCTTCGCTCGGCTGCTGCATTCGCTGGTGCGCTCGATTCATTAGAGGTTTGCGCGAATTTAATATTTTATTAGTCAGTGTTGAGATAAATATTTCAAATTTTCAGCATTGGTAGCCATCTAAATTAAATAATTTTTTTATACTTTATTCATAAAAGTTGTTTTGAAGAAATCAACTAAAACTTGCTATTGTCGGCCTCGACGGCATTTTTAGGTGGCATCTGTTAGTAAAAGGCTCAACATATTTTGATGAAATTAGAGTCCTAAGGTTAAAATTAATTTTCCAATTCACCATTTGCGAAATCGAATACCATTGGTTCTTATGGCAGCCTTATCTTAGAATGATCGAATCTTTTCAATCCTAAGATATGTTGTAGTAGATGCAAAATAAAAAATATTGGCGTTGGAAAAATCAAAATTGGTTCAGCGTGGGGCTGTAGTCAGGCGATCAAAGATTTGTAAAAGCTCAAAAAATTGGCTTCGGTTGCCTATTTTACAAATCTTTGATCGCCTGACTACAGCCCCACGCTGAACCAATTTTGATTTTTCCAACGCCAATATTTTTTATTTTTCATTTTGTACAACATGTCTTAGGATTGAAAAGATTCAATCATTCTAAGATGAGGCTGCCATAAGAACCAATGTTATTCGATTTCTCAAATGGTGAATTGATTGGCTAACTCTGAAAAAAAAATTCAATACAATCAATAATATTGATTTTATTGAATTTTTTTATGTTGACTTGGATCATCCCGTTAGTAAATAAAATAATTTTTTACAACAAAACGTTCATGAAAGATATTGTGGAAAATTTAATTAGCTAAAATTTTCTGTAAGCGTTTGCCTTTTAACATTTTTTCTCCACTTTAAAAATTAAAATAGCATATCAGCTCAAAAGCCAGTCAGACTCGCCGCCGGAAAAGTAAGTTTCCTTCTCGCTTTGCAAATTGACCTACAAGGCTCACAATTAAGTCTGACTTACTTGTTAAACTCGGCCAAAAACGCCAAGTCAGCCATACATGCCGTAAATTTGTGTGTGTTTTTTTTTCTTATTGTATGAATAGTAAATAAACTAACAAAAACAGAAGAAGGAAATGAAGTTTCCGTTGATATGTAAAAAAAACTGCATAAAAAGTCTTAAACCAATCTAAGAGAGTTCAAAAAAGTCGTTTTTATTCTCACATAAAGACACAATGAAAAAGTAACATGAGCAGTTTTTGCAAAAAAAATTAGCATATTTGAACAATTAAACTAGTTTTTCATGACCTAATAGCAATATTTATGTCAATATCTTGTCAGCCAAATAATTTTCCTTGCGATTAATTTACTATCGCAATGCTCAGCATTGCTTGTAAATTGTCATTTTTGATGAGCGCTCAAGGGTTTTCTTTTACGCGTGCCGACATAATCATTACTACTGTAGCACTGAACAGCACATGAAGAATTACAAATAAGTATCAGTGTTCATTTTATCAAATCGAATAATCTACCACGCAGCACTTAACACAACCGCCGCTGACGAAACGGCTAAAAGTGAGAAAAGCTTCCGGAAATCTGTGAATTTTTCACGAATAAACGGAGATGCACCTTGCTGGGCGTGGTTTGGGCGGAATTTGCATATCCCTTAATTGAGAGCACTTGAAATTACCCACCCAAGATGTACCGAGACGATTAATCTTTGGTCTGCGCCTGAAGAGGTACTCATCAAGATTGTGTCACTGTGATTGGCAATTGAGAAATAATATCAGCATGGTAATAATACACAATTGGGCCTCCATTGCTGCAAATCCCCTAATCGATATGTCATTGAGACTTTCAGAGATTGCTCCGATTTTTCGCGTCGCGTGGGGTATAAAGCGTTCGGCCACTATTGTCTGCCAAAGCAGTTGGTGGACCCTACTTGAGTCAGACCAACTTTCTGCGGCAGCTAAAAAGTGCGTGGAGGGATATTCTTCCAGTCCACCATGAAAGGTACTTCAAACAAAATTATTCCGCAACTTATTTAAAAATTATTTTACTACAGAGCATCCATCGTTCAGTTGTAAATCATAAAATTTAAATAATTATTTACTATTTTAGTCCATTGGCGTTTAGCCTACGAATTATTCCATTGGTTTTAAGTTGTAACATAATAAAAGTAGATCTTATCAGCGGTTTTTTTTAATACCAATTTAATAAGACTTTGGAAAAAAATTAACTGAATTCTTGTCTCTCTTTTTTTTTAACCATTAATTCTGATTTATTGTTCTAATAATAATTTATATATTTAGCCAAACATCTTACTTATGATAACTTATTTCAGCTTGCAAGGTAGCGTTTGTGGCCTTCTTCTGCATTTCCCTTGCCACTGCCCATGTGATTGGAGATAAGAGCGGAGGCGGAGGAGGCGGTAAATATTAGCTTAATGTTTTATTTTTGGTTTTTCATTTAAAACTATATTAAAGGCGGCGGCGGCGGAGGTGGAGGAGGAGGAGGCGGCGGCGGAGGTGGTGGAGGCGGTGGCGGAGGCAAGTTTTTTGACCATCAATTATTCTAAAAAAAAAAATCCTCTAGAAGTTAAAAGCGGTATTTATCACATTAGTAAATACTCGACAATCAGTTTCACTCAGTAATTTTTCACTACACTGAGCCAAGTTAATTAAAACTAAAGAGGACTTGTTGGAATATTATATTATTCCTTTGTGAATTCAAATATAGTTCTCAGAAATTTGTTATGAAAAAACAAAACTGTAACTTCAGAGAAAGAATTTTTTATTAAACTTTTATCTCCAAATAGGTGGCGGTGGAGGCGGTGGAGGTGGAGGAGGCGGCGGTGCAGGTGAATTATATTTTATTTTCTCTAATAGAGTTCTTTAATGGGGTATAAATACAACATTTATTCTTCTTATTTAAATGTATTTATTCATAGCATTTTTTCATACAACCCATAATTTACGACTTAGTCTGACCAATATTTCTAAGCTTTGAAACTTAAAAAAATTCGATAATGACTGCTGAATACTTTTTGAATTAAACGATACGAATATTTAAATATTTTGGTTTCTCGAGTCGCTAATTGATAAAAAAAATTAATGTACAATTTTATTTTATTGAGATATAATACAGCTTTCAATTTTAAGCTATTGATTATTATTTTTATTATTTTTCTGATTGAATAATCTTCTAATGTAAGGAAAATATTATAATTATATTTATAATGAATTAATATTTTATGGGAAGAATAATTTATAAGTACATAAATGAATAATAAAATTGAAAATATTTTCAGTGGTTACAACAACAACACCCTGTCCTACAACAACGACTCCCTGTACGACCACCACGACTCCCTGCACCACAACTACAACGACTCCTTGCCCCACAACTACGACTCCTTGTACCACAACTACAACTACCACAACCCCTTGTCCGACCACCACCACCCCTTGCACAACAACCACCACTACAACAACTCCTTGTCCGACCACCACCACCCCTTGCACAACAACCACCACTACAACAACTCCTTGTCCGACCACCACCACCCCTTGCACAACAACCACAACTACCACAACCCCTTGTCCAACCACCACCACCCCTTGCACAACAACCACAACTACCACAACCCCTTGTCCAACCACCACCACCCCGTGCACAACAACCACAACTACAACAACTCCTTGTCCGACCACCACCACCCCTTGCACAACAACCACAACTACAACAACTCCTTGTCCGACCACAACCACCCCTTGCACAACGACCACCACAACGACAACTCCTTGTCCGACCACCACGACTCCTTGCACCACCACAACAACTCCTTGCACCACAACAACTACTCCTTGCACTACCACAACCCCTCCCTGCACAACCACAACTCCTCCGTGCACGACCACAACCCCTCCATGCGTGACGACGCCCCCTTGCGCCACTAATCCACCAGCGGCCAAGTGTCCGGACTGTGTGAACTCCGCTTGCACAGTCAACGCGTGCAACCAGTCCACCCACCTGCCCTACCCAGGTGACTGCACCAGGTTCTGCCAGTGCGACCACAATGGCGCCGTGGCATTCACATGCCCCGCTGGACTACATTTCAACGCCGGTGTGCAAGTCTGCGACTGGCCAAGCTCGGCTTCGTGCACCATTGCGAACACATACGTTGGGTCGTGCTCCCTGTAATTGCCGAACGCCTGTGGCATGTACCGTTATTAATAAATTCTGCAAACATATTTATTTATTTGTAAACTGTTAATAAATTATTATACCCTAGCCTTGCCTTTCAACATCCTGAACACAGTAAAACAAATTATGATACGTACACTTCATTTTCCAGTTAGAAAATCTAGAACGATAATTGTAACATATTATTCAAAATGAAGATGAAATGGTTCAGTTGGAGAAAACAAATTTAAGTGAATTCAAAGAACCATCAGTATGAGCTACACAGAGCAAAAGATAAAAGGGCAGTGACGTTGATCGTTTGATTTCACGCTGACGTACGCACATACAGTACAAGCAGAGTTCAAGCAAATGCGTAAAATAGCACTTCAAATTCAATCTAAAAATTAATCTATAGTGCAGTGCTCATCGACGTCATGTGTAAGAGAAAAAACTAACTGAAAGGGACCAAAAAATCGTTTCAAGAAAATTATTTGAACGGGTTAAAATGAAACATGTATAAAATATATCTTTTCTGGATTACTGAATAATATTAGTTTCTAGCTGTTGAAGACAAATTTACCGCCAATTATCTTTTGGTCATCTTTGTGAATAAATTATTTACTGTACTGTTTTCAATTATTATATTAATTATACACAGTAATGATAAAAAAATAGGAGAAAAAAATTAGAAGATGAGTACCGCAAATAGCAGAGGTTTACAAAAATGCCCAGCATCAAAGGAGACACGCCGCCACGGTGAACCCTCTCACTATAGAGAGAACCGAACACTCAAAATTACTGCCAAATAAATACTCTGTTTTCACACAAACGACACAGATGACCATTTTTTGGTTGGGCAATCTATGAGGGTCGATGGCAGGTCACACCAGGGCTTAAAACCCCTGAAGAAAAAGGGGCGCAGGCCGAACGTACTTCGGACTAACAAGGGAGGCGGTGGCAGTTGGCCCTTAAATGATGCGCCTGGGTTAAATCTGTCTCGTCACTGAATTAATTTTCAGGGGAAATATGTTGCTGTACCTTTGAAGCACATTTTTTGTCATTAAAAATATTATGTGAATGTAAATCAATGCCACGCGAACATCAAATATCCCCTAATTATCGCTTATCAATAAGTTATTGACAGTAACTTTTGAATAAAAAATCCCGAGTGGCAATCCTTGAATGTTTCGTTTGTTGCTCTGTGCACTTCAAGCAATTTTCTGATAACTTCAGGTAGTGCTTAAAAAGTCAAAGTATGCCTTTCTTTATTGCTCGCTGTTTGCGAATATTTGCGTAAAATGATCATCTACATCTTCAAGTGCAACCTTCATGTAAGATAAACATAAAAAAGGAGCTCATATTGAAGTGGCCTAAAATTCTAATAAACCTATAGACACCGGCATATGAAAATTATTGCTAGGTATATATTTCGCAATAAAAGATTAGAGATCTACAAAAATGATATTTGTCATCATATTTATCGCAAATACGTATGTGCATATGAACGTGATGAGGCAGGTGCAAAGGCTGTCAAAATTGAAATTTTCTTATCTTCTCATGTTCTCATTGCCGAGTTTGGAAAATGGGACACAATAAAATGATGAAATTATATATAAAATTTCTAAGGTGCAGGAAAAAACTACAAATATTCAATTGCTAGCTTGATTTAGAAAATTCTTTAGACGAAGAATTAAGGTAAAAAAATTTTTGCACACGGACTTAAATTGAAGCATGTAATAAACAGGTTAAATTCTAGATAATTTTTGATAAGAAAAAAATTACACATATTTCACATAAAAAAATATGTATTAATGTAATACGCCTTGGTATTAGCATTGCACAGGCACAAAAGATTTGAGAAAAGAAGAGTTTTGTATTGCTGATTAGAAAAGAAGATGGGCGCGCATTAAAACCCCATTAACGGCAATTAACTTTGAACCGCACGAAAAAACATGAAAGCCAATCAAGATTTTTATCTGCCAGTTGAATTGGCTATAGGAACGCAATAGCAGACCGCTTACAACAATCATTTCGCTGATAAAGCTATTGAAGCTGTCCGATTGGTGTCATTAAGATTGTTTGCGTGATTTTCTTGGCTTTCGGGAAATCAGAGCCATCGGAGGGGGCGAGATTTGTGAATAAAAAGGACCAGCTCTGCAGCGTAGAACTATTCGTTTTTCGTTGGTGGATACTGTCAGACCAACTGGGAATCGGGGTACACCCTTTGCAAACATGAAAGGTAAGTTTAAATATTAAATTTACCCTCAAATTCCAAGATCTTAAGAAACTATTAACTTTTCATTTTACTTTCTTATTTGTAAGAATACATTTCTATTTTTTTTCTTGGGTATGACACTATTTTTCTCTTTGAGGATTAATTTTAAATCTCTTTTCCGATTGTTATTAATCTTTGCCAATGATAGATTAAAAGAAGATTGCATTTCAAATAGTGCTTATTAGATTAAAGATTATCGACGCTTTACGGCTAAACTCTCTGATTTAAATCTGTGGTCATCCGTTCAGCTTTCAGGCTCGCAGTTGTGGCCTTACTCTGCGTCGCCATTGTCACTGCCAATGACAAGGAGACGATGGAAGGTGGAGGCGGCGGCGGAGGTGGAGGAGGCGGCGGCGGCGGAGGAGGTAAATAATAACTTTCCTGCCAAGTTTTTCAATCAAAATAATAACTTGACGAAGTTTCTTATTATAATTTTGGTTTCTTTCATTTTGATACGTCATTCATAAAGTCAAAAATTGTGAGTAAAAATTGCAAATGTTTGAAAGAAAAATAACGTTTTCTAAAAAGGCTTGCTGTAAAAATAATCAAGATATTAAATCAAAATTTTTAAAATTAAATTTTTTAACAATCTTTAAAAATAAAATTTAATTATTTAATTTCATCCCAGGCGGAGGTGGAGGCGGAGGCGGCGGAGGAGGTGGTGGTAATTATAAGATAATTATTTAGAGAGGCATTAAAATAATGATGGATGTTTAAAAAAATCCAAGGAGGTGGAGGAGGCGGCGGTGGAGGCGGAGGAGGCGGTATTTTTTTTTCTTAAGTTCATATTTTCCAGAAAAATTAATCATTTTTATTGCAGGCGGAGGTGGTGGAGGCGGCGGCGGTGGCGGCGGCGGCGGTGGAGGTATGTTTAAAAATCTATCAAAAGTACTGTAATTTATATTTAAAATCAAGAGCCGCAAAAATGTCCGCTCTTGAGGAAGTGCGTTTTATTTTCAATATGCATTAAGTAAATCACTCATTGTCAGGCTATTTAATGAGACCTGGAATTGGAAACGGCTATACTAGCAAATAGTGTGTGAGGCAAATTAAAACAAATTGTAAATTTTACTTTCAAATAATTATCATTTCCTTTGAATTTAATCAATACGATATCTCACACTCCCTTCTGCGCGGATTTTTTGATTCAAATTTTTTTAACAAGTACTTTATTTAAAATTTATGTATACTAGAGTTGATTAAATAATTAAATAATAATTTTATATTAATACTAATTATTATATATCATTTTGCATATTGAGAATTCAGTTCTGCTCTTATTTTCTTTCACTTATGTTTTTAATATTCTATAGGTGGTGGTGGAGGCGGCGGCGGCGGAGGTGGTGGAGGCGGAGGTGGCGGCGGTAAGTTTGAAGTCTTGAAAGGCCGAATGTATGAATTGAACATACAAAATATTTATTTCAGGCGGCGGAGGCGGCGGTGGAGGTTAATAATCAAATTTTGCAATTGAAAAACAGAATAACAAGACAAATGATTAAAACTCACTTCAAAGCACTTTTATCAGTATCAAATAGGCAGTGCGGCTGCTTTGATTTATATGTAATTGGTATCAGATCATACTTAACTCTTCTGTTCAGTTTAATCACAGAAACTTTTTATTAACGCGACAGTGAAGTAATTTAATAGGTTTTCTATTCGATTGATGCTTTTTCTATAAACACGTGATTTTTTTGCTCTCAAATTCTCAAATGTCTAAATTAGTGGGAAATATTTTATGTGTGCCTTTAGTTGCAAAGTGTCTTTATTGATTGTATCAGAAGGCAATTATATCTAGAAGCAAAAAAACCTCTCTCTAAAAGAAAATTTATAAAAATGCTTTTTTTTTTTATCAAAAATCAATTAATTGAATCACTTGCATTTGATAAAAAAAAAATATTGAAGGCTAATAATTATTTGAAATCTTACAGGCGGTGGCGGCGGCGGCGGTGGTGGAGGAGGAGGAGGAGGAGGAGGAGGCGGTGGTAAATTTGAATTATATTTTTAATAAAAATTGAGCTTAATTCACATAAACTTACAGGCGGCGGCGGAGGAGGAGGAGGCGGCGGAGGTGGTGGCGGTGGAGGTAAATTTATTTTTGTTAATTCAAAAATTTTTGACAAGACAATAAGTCGCAATTATCACAAATGCAATTAACATGATTAGTCTTTGCATTGGTGAAATTAGAGCTACATTTATTGTAGCAACTACGATTAGTGTCCGCAGATCACAAAACTTTCAGAATTAAATTATGAAAATTATATTTTTTGCTTTAAAAACCTGTGCATAAAACTGGGATGCCAAGTGCTCCCTTCTCTAACCAAAATAGCAAAATAGAAAACTATTTTAACTGATTTTTAATAATCAGGCGGTGGAGGCGGCGGCGGCGGCGGTGGAGGAGGAGGCGGCGGCGGAGGTAAGAAATTAGTTAGATCTTCTAATCAAGATAATTCGTGCTAGTTTCTATTTCAATTTCCTGCGTCTAGATAGAATTTTATAGAAAATTTAATATTTTCAAATATTGATTTTGAAATTTTAAACTTTTTCAGTCACAATGGTCTAAATTTATTTTGTGAAAACGTCTGAAATATTCTTAAAAGTCCGTAGCTAGTTAAAATTTTTGAAATTTATTTTATTTATTTGGGACTTGACAATTTTAATTAATTAATGTTCAATTTTTCAGTTAACCCGACTGTGGCCCCACCATGCACGACCACAACTGCTCCCTGCACAACTACGACTGCTCCCTGCACGACCACGACTGCTCCCTGCACGACCACGACTGCTCCGTGCGTGACGACACCCCCTTGCAACACCAACCCCCCGGTGGTCAAGTGTCCGGACTGCGTGAACGCGGCCTGCACCCCGAACGCGTGCAACCAGGCCGTCCACCTGCCGTACCCAGGTGACTGCACCAGGTTCTGCCAGTGCGACCACCTCGGCGCCGTGGAGTTCAAGTGCCCTGCCGGTCTGCACTTCAACCGTGTTCTGCAAGTGTGCGACTGGCCCAACGCGGCCTCCTGCACCATCCTCAACACCTACGTCGGCACCTGCTCAGCCTAAGCATGATGTGCAAGCTTGCTGAATAAACTGACGCACGGCATGTCGACATGCAACTATTATAAGCTCTGAATAAATCTTTAAGTTTCTATTTATACTCACACACAATGTTTAGATATTTTTGGGGAAATCAAGTTTTTAACATCACAAAATTGCTGTAAAAGTCATACAAATTTTAATTTTTTTTTCTTCATTCTTTTTATTATTAATATTTATCATCTTCAATATTGGAAATTCCAGTTTTTTTTATTACAAGTAATTATTTTATCTAAAGATTAATAAGTTTCTGTTGAAAAGGTTAGCGCGTGTCTTTAATTGACGATATTGATGGTAATTTTTACGTCAATCAAATTTCTCGAATTCAGTTGCGGCGGAATTTACTTTGCTGTCTGCTTATCAGCCTCAATTCAATGCGCAATTGAGCATGCACAAAAACAGCACGTGATAAGCGGTCGCAATTTAGATGAATCGCAATCAACATAACAAATCACAATTTCTGGCGTTTGATGTTTGCGATTCGGGCACAAGGTTCAATCAGTTCTTCCAAATGATAAACAAGAGGCACTTGACAAAAGAAGGTCGTCGCCACCAGAGAAGATAATTAATTGTGAAAGGGAAATTTTTCGTCGTTGGCGTCATCAAATTCGAGAGTGACGTACGAAAAATTTAATAAGAATTTCTCCTTTGATGACTGGAGGAGGCTCGTAAAATGGAAGATATTGAAAATTGTATAAAGAACGGAAATTAAGTTGCTTCAAACAAATCTCATTTTCATCTCAGTTACAAATATAATTTTTACGCTTGACCTGAAAATTTTGCGCATCTCACGCTTTTCCACTCCATCCTTCTCTTGTCGTCAAGACTAAAATGGAACTAGTTTCTCTTTGCAAATATTTGGAGATAAACAATATTGAGCGAAATCCTGCTGGCAAGGCGAGAAAGAATACTCAAAGCAAGCTTTTTGTTTTCCTACTTTCAGAATAATATGAAACGGAGAACTCTCAAAATATATTGCTCACAGAATAACAACGTTCTTGGGTATCCAATTATTTGTGTAAAAGAATGAAATTGGTGTCAAGTTAATCTCGGATATTGTATTTAACTGATTGTCTTATTTTTTTCAGAAACATTATATCCAAATATTTGCTAAAGTGCTCTGTATTTTTAAATAAATCCAGCGTTCTAAATTAAAACATTTACTGAATATTTTACAAAAAGTGATATTATGGTGACTAATTGTAAGATGAACTAAAAGAAGTTTTGAAGAAATCATATTATACAATATTATTACCTACTAATGTGCATACTACAAAAAACTGTGAGGATTTGGAATGAGAAGAGAGTCATTTATAAAGCTTTAAATAAATAAAGTACAAAAAGCGTGTTATATTGTTATTGGAATTTTTTATACCTCAAATGAAATGAAATGAGGGAAAGATATGTACGAATTTCATACCCAAGTCAGAATTTTAGTTGTTAATAATAAGTTCATAATAATTTTTAAGGCACATTTATGATAAAAGTAAAAGGCTTGTAATGAGACCAGACAACGTTTAATGAGGTGACCCAATATTTACCATCATATCTCTCACCACAAATTGAAGATTCACGTCCGTCTTCCAAATGCTGTTTAGAACTCCGAGCACGGAAAGAAAAAAATATAGGTCAATTAAGTGTTATTTCTAATGGATTATCAGCGTCTCTCTTGGGCATTTTGCACCTCTCAATTACGAAAACTTGCAGGTGATAAAAGTCGTGCGGATATTTTACTCACTGTGTGAAATGTCTTTCAATCTTGATTAGCAGTTTCCAATTATGAGGCTCTTGTGCCACTTTAGCAGGTTTTTGTGTCAAATGGCTGATTAATCGATAAAAATTGGCGATAGGAAAATTCAAATTAAATGAGCTTTGCCTTTGCGGTGTGTTTGTTTGTGATAAAAAATGAATTATTAATTTATTATCATGCACGTGCCAATAAACAAGTATTTACACAGTAATTATAATAATTTTGAAATTATAAAAGCTGATAATTACATGTTCTATTGCATCAATAATCAACAGGTACTAAAAAAAGGCACCCCAGTTACATAAATGTACTCATTTTTAATTGCGTACCTTTCTTTCTTTTGAATTTTTCCATATCTGTTTCATTTTATTATGGCTGTTTTTTCTGTGAATGGGTCAAAGTTTCCTTACGCAAATAAAATTATCAATTAACATCTAAATGTAAATTAACTAAAATAATCAGAAAAAGTCAGCGAGCAATCTAAAAGAGCTTCAGAATAAAAAGTATTTGATTGAAAAGGGGCTTAAAGCGAGTGCGTAATAGTGAAAATGACGTTAATTGAAGCTTAAGAGGTTTAAAACAGATTGGTGATTGTAATTGTTGTCAAATACACGTCATAAAGCCGGTCAATGGAATTACTGAATGTAAAACCAAAGATTAAGTTGATCTGCTGAGATTATCGAGGAGTGATTGACGTAGGTGGAGGCCCGATTCAAAACAATGGAAGTTTATGAATGAAATTACAATCACAAATATTAATGTCATCATAATAATAAGATTGAAATATGAAAATGACATAAAAATTATTTAATTAGTAAATTTTCATTACAAAGCCCTACAAATTCAACTTTTGAAGCTTTAAAGTGTTGTTGAAAATTTCCCAAATAAAGTAAATTTTTAGCAAAATTCATCAAGTTCTTTATAAGGGGTCATTTTTTCCAAAATCTAAAAAAAAAGGAAAATAAGCCTCAAAAGGTAATTTGATTGTAGTTTTGTTCTTAAAGTTATGGCGGTACTGATCCGCTAACAATAAGATTTGCATATTATTCAACATAAATGAATAATGGAGCGAATTAAAGATGAAACCGAGGGGACTTTTTTTATAAATTTCATCTCACACTATTAAGGTTTTGATTGCCAAAAAAGCGCTGAATCATAATACTGAGCTTGCCGAAATAAAATTTACATAAGCATGAGGGAAAGCGAGAGAAGAGTCGCATTAGATTTGATGGCGTCGCAGCGAAAAGTGCCCATTAAAAACTGAATGGAAACTGTTACTGCTTTTTTTTACAGCGAGCCACCATAAAATTTTCCGGCATGCACACATTCAGGGTTTTAGCTTCTCTTGTTCCCTGGAGAGGGGTATTTTTGTTAACGATACGGCATTTACGAGTGTTGCTCGCACTCTCGAAGACAATGAATGATATCAAGAGTGAAATGAGAAGGAAAATAATCTTGACAACATGCACGCAAAATGTTTTAGATCAACTATATTAACCAATGTCATTTTAAAGCAGGCAGGAGATTAAAATTTTGCAAACATGGAAACATCTGCGCTCAGTTTTGCAGCATTCGACAATGGAATATTAGGACAAGTGATTACATCATTAAATTTATGTTATAAGTGTAAATAAAGAAGATTAAAATTATGAGTGCAAAAAATGAATGTTTTTTTAAGGGAATTAAGTAAATAGTTTAATCAAGATTGCTGTGACGGTAAAATTGATTATGCGAGTACGAGACAAGTAATTATTTCACAATCATGGCTGAAAGCTAAGATAATAAAATTCTACATACTTTTTTTAATTCAAAATTGTGTATTATCTATCTGGGTTACATTATAAATAAATATATGTCAATTTTTTTTTTAAATTTTTCTCTTCAACGATTTGTAAAAGTTTAAATAGACGCTGAAAAAATAATGATAATATTCAATAATTTTAAATGATTAAGCATAATTAAGTTATAATGTATTAATTATTGGAATATCTATTCAAGGGTTAATTAAAAAATAAAAAAATCTTTTCAAATTCAGCGGGTTAATTTACACGTAGAAAAAAGTTAAAAAAAAAACTGTGTTTAAAATGTGTTCCAGTCACCTTGAAATTCAAGTATCGGCGCAATCAAAGGCGAAAAGTGCGAACAGCGGCTAATCCAATTTACAATTACATTGTTCCCCGCTCGTATTATTGTCAATCACACATCTTATCAACTAATTGCATGTTATTCGCATGTCCACTTGCCGTAATTGAAGTGGCTTCGAGCGTAGATAATAATCACACTAGAGAGGGAGGGAAAGCCTTTAGTACAAATTAATGCTTTTACTTTAATAAGATATAAACAAAATTCAAGATCGGTTGTATATATAAACCCTCGTTCATCAGACTGACTTAAGTGATCTTGACTTGTCGATTTGGTATATCATTTTGTGGCTTAGGTGTGAAGCCAAAACTCTTGTGCAAGTCTAAACAGAGTCAGGAAATTTTATCAAAAATGAAAGGTGTGTTTTGTTTTTATTTTTTAATATTCTTGATATTTTTTTTTCAATAATTTTTTAAAATATTTTATCCTTTTTAATTTTTTGGATATTATGCTAGCTTGCATTAGTTTTTAAGAAATAAACTGTGCTTTTTTAATGTTAACTAATTTTTATTAAAGTAGGTTAGTATGTTAAAACGGAAAAGATTTGAACTTGATTATTGAATTTAAATTTTGCAGCTATTTTGCTTGTCAGCTCGTACCTCATAGTCTTGGTCAGCGCCAAGTACAACCACTACGGAATTGCTAGAGACTACACTTTTACACCTGTAACCTGTCCACCTTGCGATTGCACGACGACCACGACGCCTTGCCCAACAGTAACAAGCACAACCACAACACCTTGTCCAACCACTACAACCACAACTCCTTGCCCAACAACGACAACTCCGTGTCCAACAACGACAACTACAACTCCTTGCCCAACAACCACCACACCCTGTGTGACCACCACGCCATGCCCACATCCACCAAACAGTCCAGGGTGAGAATCTCTCTTATTATAAATATTTATCGATTTATTTTTAATTAATTAATCAAGCATGACATTTCTATTCAGCTCAATAAATGATTTTAATAGGTTATTAAAAAATTACAAACATGAAATAAGGAAATAAATTTTGACTTTAATTATAAAATTATAATTTTAAATAATTATTTTTGTTGTTTCATATTAATTTAATATTTACAAAACTGTGCAAAAATTATGCCTGGCATGATTTGTCCCAAATAATACAATTGTTCTTCTATAGAAATAATGAAAATGATATTTATTTAAATGTAAATTTTGAATTTCTAGAAGTAATTTTTTTTCTTAAATAATATATTAACAAGAAATTTTATGACGTATGAATATATAATGCAAGTTTGACCCTCTCCTGCAGATTCTGCCCACCTTGCGTAATGAACCGCTGCACCCCAGACGCCTGCTCCCTTGGGGCGAATGTTCCCTATCCTGGCGACTGCACCAAGTTCTGCAAATGCGATTTCGACGGAGCCACGCCGTTCGACTGCCCCGCAGGACTCCACTTCAATGACATCCTGCAACTTTGCGACTGGCCGAGTGCCGCAAAATGCACCCTGTCCAGCACTTACGAGGGTGGGTGCGAAATGCTGACGCCCTAAGGATAAATCATGCGGAACTTTATTTCATAAATATTCAGGGTTACCAAATAATATATACATTAATTTATTTTTAGTCATTTATGTTTGTATACAATAATAAAAATAATGTCTAATTCATAATATAAATAAGCTAATTTTATTCAATTTGACGACCTTTTTCGTGGAAATAGATCATATAAAATGTCGATCGCAATCTAGGGTGTCAATTTCAATTACCTATCAACCAGTATAGATTATAGTGGCACGCTCTGTCAAGTTCAAGTTATCAATGTCAGAGTCAGATTTGAATTTTAACGCGGAAGACCTTGACTTTTATTCATTATTGTGTACGTCATGAAGTTTTCATCTAACGTCAGTTGTTATTATCAATATATTTATTGAGACATAGTACATATAACATACAGTAATAACTCCCAACAGAATCGCACCCTTTTGCAAGTGCTGGATAAGGAAGAAGAGGTGGAAATTAAAATTAGGGAAGCTATCGGTCACTACGGCATTGATCAGAATTTCTTTTAAACCTAACACAATCTTTCATTTTTACATTAATGAGAGGAAAAATTATAATTTTTAGCCAACGGATGCGATGAAATGTTTTTTTTCCTTATGTGTTTAAAATGTGAAGATATCAATTTTATTTGCATTTTCCACAATCAAAGTTGAACAACACGCATCTATGATAGAGAATATTGTACATTCAAATTTTATTATAATATAATTTAATTATTCTTCTCGGTCAATAGCAAATTTTAATTCGAAAAAAGGGAGAAGAAAGATGTCTTCTAAAACGCCCGACATCAAAAGAGACGGCCGTCGAGGTAAACCCATCATTAGGTAGTCAATTAAAGTGGACCGCAGCGGTGCAATTTTTAAAATTTCCATGATTAAATTTTAAAAAAAAAATGAAATAAAAAATTGAGCAGCTATTGTGTCACATTTAGATTCCACAATATGAAAAAATTATTGCCACTAGTTTCAGAAGTTTGACTTACCATCAAATTAAAAATCATTTCTAAATAAATCACATATGAATTTAAAATTTTAATTCAATTTCTAAATTAATCACTTTTAAAATTATATTTAAAAAAAAAAACAATAATAATATTCATGCTTCGATCTTCACGAGGACATATTGACGTCAAATTTTGAGGTACATATTACAATTTAGCTGCACGAACGATTAATGAAATGATGTATTAGAGGGGCAACCACTACCAATATCAAGATAAATCATACAAAATTAAAGATCAGTATACTTTAATTTGATTTACTAAGGAAGAAAAACAACATATAATTTAGCAGTCAATATGCTGCGAAAAAGTTTTGATAAAATTTATTTTATTTACCCACCCACTCCAATTTATCTGCAATAATTAGATGTAAAATTTTAGTAACAAAAGTGGCTTAATAAAATAATTGCAAACAATTTCCATTTTCTAAATAATGATTTTATATTTGTTTTTTTTTTCACAGTCGGCGAATTGAAATAATCTAAGTCCTTCATGATCTAGAAAAATGTGACTGACAGTTTGCTATTTAGTGGAGTACAAAAAATGATATAAAAGATTTTGACATGTTCGATCAGTTTGATTAACTATGAGTCGGTAACCTCTTTAAGTCTATGTATGAATTTCTATCAAAATAGATCTATTCAATGAGATCATGTAACCAAAAATTTAGTAGAAATCATAAATTTATTTAGGGAATTTCCTAAAGTATTTAATAATCAATATTAATGCCAATTTTGACTTGAATATGCCTCAGATTTTTATTAAAAAATGTGATTAGTGATAATCTGGGATCAGTAATGGTCATCCGGACGTCAATCACGCTTATCACAGATCACTGCCAATTACAACCTTAGTTTTTTTACCCCAGACACTTATATCAAAAAAAGATATTTCAATTTGTATGAAGACTAATGGCGATAATCCTTAGAGGAGGGGCCTGGATTAGGCTCAGATCAATTAGCATTGTGACAAATGGTGATTGATCGGATTAGCTATATCTGCGGTATATATATTGCGTCGAAAACCGCCTCAGGACAGTGTTGAGATTTTGTTTGCTGATCCACAATCGGTGGGCATCTTCCAGAGCCAGTACCCTTTGTGCCCAGAGAATTCAATTAGCTATGATGAGAGGAGGTGAGTTTGTGCGCTGCTAAACTATTGCCAACAGTTCCTTGAAGCGAAGAGTTTGCCTGTTTGACGGGACGAGCAAGGGCTCATCCAAGCGTGGATAATTAAAGGAGAGATAGAAGCAGTTCCATATTAGCAAATACGCGTTCACAGTTGGATTCAGTGAGCGTGATGGTTGTGGGCAAAAAGCTTTTTATGTTCTATTGCGCCTTGAGGAACGTTTGATTCAAAGATGGAGATGGGAGTTGCAAAATTAATTAACAGTTTCGAGAATCAATATGTCAAATAAATTTATTTCACGAGTAATTGATTTTGGGAAATTTGGACTTTCCAAGAAATTGATTTGAGGGAAAATTTGAGAGAAAAATTTACTACCTATTTGCAGCTAACAATTTTAGCTATCCGAATCAATCAGTCTTAAAAATCCTCTCTTTTACAAGATCTTTTTTTAAATACTGACATGATTATCATTTTTTTTTCACAGCCGTTTTTTTTAGCTTTGCTCTGCTGTTCGCTTTTGCTGGAGCCGAGTACCAGCAGTACCTTCACCCAGGTCAAGCCAATCGTGGTCGAGACTTCACGATTGTGCCAAGCACTTGCCCGCCATGTGATTGCACCACCACAACCCCCAGACCTACAACCACTACTAGAGCTACCACCACTAGACCGGCAGTGACGACCACCCCGCCGTGCACTAAGCCACCAACCCACCCACCAAAGTAAAAATTTTTAAACATAATTTTTCTTTTACTCTGAAATACGTTTTGGATTGATTTATAAAATTCAATGTTTTCAACCGATTATAAAATTTATATTTTTCTTTCCAGGTTCTGTCCTGATTGCGTGAACAACAGGTGCACACCAAACGCCTGTGACCTGTCTGTCCTGGTGCCCTTCCCCGGTGACTGCACCAAGTTCTGTCAGTGCGAGTACGGAGGTGCGAAGGAGTTCGATTGCCCCGGCGGTCTGCACTTCAACGAGATCCTCCAGATTTGCGATTGGCCCAACCAGGCTCAATGCACCGTTTCCGGAACCTACCTCGGAGGATGCGAGGGCATCAGACCCTAGATGAGGTTATATCACCAAATATATAGATCAAAAAGAAACTTATAATATCGTATTAACTTGTTGAATAAAATATGTGAGTTGTTCTACTAATTTATTACATATTTATTTTAAAGTAAGAAATCTACTTGTCTTCATTTCTGGCAAAACCCATTTCAAAATTCAAGCTACTTCTTGAAATAGAAATTATGATAATTTAAAAAAACTTAAATTTCAGCTTTATTGAACTAAAAGTGTGCAACTGAAAATTTTTGTGTAGTTTTCCGTATTTCGTAATCAAGTGCAAAGGAATGCTGCTTGATGACGCGAGATTTCATTATAAACGAAACGCGCAGAAATTTTCGTGCGCACTGCGTGATCTCCTCTTGTCATCTCTGCCTGTCAATCAACCTGTCAAATTCACACCTCTTATCGAAACAACACATCTCACAACAAGTGTGCGATTTTGGGTGATTTTGCATATGTTCACAGCTAAAAACAAGTGGGGACAATCATAGATGAATTGGTCAAAGCACAAAATCTAGCCACTTAAAACTATGTATAAATAGAGCAAAATTCATAGCCATAGACATAATAGACTCGACTTCGTCCAGTTACCAATCGGTGGGTGTTGAGATTTAACAAGACGCCAGTACCCTTTGTACGAGCATCAACAATGAAGGGTAAGTTAGCAATTATTTTAATAATAAGCATGTTTTGCGCCTAGAAAAAAAGTTTTCTAAAAGTTTGTTGTCACTGCAGTTAACTCAGAGATAATGTATGAAAATCTGTGAACTTGCGTTCCAAATTCTCCCTACTCCAATAATTAGTTACAATTCAAGGCGAGTGTGATTAAATTTCATATTATCTGAGGTACTAATATCGATGGAGTAGTTGTCAAATAATCATATTAATGTTGATAGTTAATTGACGCAAACAATGTTATTAACTGATTATCGCTGTCCTACTTTTAAAGGTGGCGATCTAATTGATTTTTTATTCATGGCGTCAAATTAAAACAATAATTCTGACGGTTTTATTAATTTTGCTTAATCCACCACTTGTAAATTGCAAAACAAGCACCTAAGCAAGATTCAAGTAAAATAAAGACTGTACCTTTTGATAAGATATGCATATTATTAATTATTTCACTCCATACATGTTTTCTTTTAAAATTGAGCAAACAATCAAAGTCCACTTATTCCATAAAATAAATTAAATTATTTTCAGCATATCTGTGTTTCGCCCTTGTCATTGCCGTGGCCAGCGGCTACTCCATGTTTGATGGACAATCCATTACTTTGACGACAAATGCTTGCCCGCCGTGCGACTGCACCACAACTACCACGACCACCACAACCACGACTACTACTACCACCACCACCACCACCACTACTACTACTCCACCAACCACCATTAAGCCCGGAGAGTGAGTTAATTTTTTTTATTCACACATATAAAAAAACAAAGATCATTGAATGTTTCATTGAAATTTAATAAAAGTTTAACTTTAATGACAATAATGTCTTTAGATTAAAATTTTTGTATTTAAATAAAAGATCAGCAAGCTTCGTCAGTTAAATATATTCATTTTTGGGATATAAAAATTATTTTTAAAGATAAATATTATTGTAAATTGCAACAAAAATGAGCATTTATTTTCTTTCTTTATTTAAATTTAAAATATGTTGCTCAAACATCGCTAGAATCTTTGTCTATGATTCTGTTTCATATTGTTTTTGTTTCTATATTTCATTTTAATTTTTGTTTGTGTTCAATCCAAATCATACCGATGACTCTTGATTTGATTGTGTCATTTCCGTTTCAGGTACTGCGCCAACCCCTGCGTCACCAGCAGGTGCAGCCCTGCCGGCACCTTCGACAGCTCCATCCAACTGCCCTACCCCGGCGACTGCTCCCGATTCTGCAAGTGCGACGTCAATACCCAAGCTAGAGCTTTCGACTGCAGCCCCGGACTCCACTTCAACGCCGAACTGCAGGTGTGCGACTGGCCCACCGCATCCAAGTGCTCCGTCCAGAGCACCTACATGGGAGGTTGCGAAGCCCTCATGAATTAAATTATGAATTATTAACCATAAAAATTCTGAACCTCTTGAAGGTACAAGAATTATAATGTCATGACAACATAATTTTAAATATTATTCAAAATTTTTGTTACGGGTATATTTATTGGCGAATAAAATGAAATTTTAGCATTAATATTGGTGTATTATTTACTTGGAAAATTATTGAAATCTACTTTCTATTCTATCCATAAATTAAACTGAAATTTAAATAAATTATACAAAGATCTCTCAGGAAGTTTTGTTAATCAATCTTAATTTTTAGAATTGCTTCCAAATCAATTTTCAGTTGATTCTGTTTCTATGAAATATACTGATTTTCAATCTGAACAAATTGTTTGTTTGCTTAGTATATTTACGGTACGTGTCACAAAAAGACGTCATTGGCACAAATTCCACGCAGTTAACCTTTGGTTGGATTTTGAAGAACAATTAAGCTGATAAGAGAGAGCATAGATTTCGCACTAGGATAGGCTTCTTGTGTTCTCACCTCGAAAAGTCCGCGCTAGACCGCACACTAGAGTCAAGAGCGTGATAATCAAATGAGCGGCTTATCGCGCGTGCGGCCGCCGCAAAGTGCGAAACGGCCGATGATTGACAGCGAGCCGTTGTTCGCAAGCTATCTTACTGTCACGATAATGATCTCCGTCAACGCTGATGTTGCAAGAAGAGTGGAACATTATCTGCCCAACAAACAACGCACAATGCGCCCGTCATCCACCTAATTGGCTTGCGAGCAGCGTGCAAAATTCCTCTCCGTTGACATAAAAGGAGAGCTAGAGATGAGTTTTTTCCGGTCACAAAATACCTCGATCTTAAGGAAGGTCTATTTGGTATACGAGAGCTAGTAATTGAGGAAAATGCCAAAAAAAATCCGAAAAAATACGTTATCGTTCCATAGAAATAACAACTGCAGAAGTCACATTTACAGTAAAATAAATTTAATAGAAACTGATATTTATAAAATTTGGAAATTTAAATATTTGCCACTAGATTTTATATATTAAATTTTTCGATTTTTGTTTTCTGAAAAGATCAGTGCTTTTAATTATAAATTAATAATAGAATCTCAAACAATATGTATGGCTTTCACTTCGTCAAATTTTACTCGTGGTTATAATTTATAATTTTATAAGTGCTTTGAAAATATTTTACTTTTTAGTAGCGTTATTCACTATATTTGTAAGCTCTCATAATTTTTTACATATTTTTTAAAGAATAATCTCCTTTTTTTTAAATATTTAATACTAATTTCAATTGGAAATCAGCTAAATTTTGGTTTCACTGCTCAAAAACTAATAATTTATATCTTACGGCTAAAAGTATTATTTTAATTTTTTTTAACTATCAATTAAAAAATGTATGAAATTCATATTGCAACGATTTACAATATGAAGTAAAAATGAAGAAAGAAAGAGGTCAACTTCTTCATGTTTTTTTTCTTCAAAAATCTTCAAAAATGTTTTCCTTAATTTACTTGTAAATCATGTATATCACTGGGCATTCTTTTTAAAAAAAATTGTAAATTTTGACTCGTAAGTTATCGTTAAATTAAAATTAAAATTTTTCTCTTGAAAATTATGGCCATTTAAATCAAAGCAAGGCTTATTTTTAAAGAATTAGCTGGGACCATTAAAAACAAACATTTTCTTGCTGGTTTTATAAACTTTTGTTTGACACTGAGCATACTAGGAAAATTAAATCTTAATCCACGCATAAGCTTAAACTCCAAATCTAAGATCAGAAAAAAGCACACACATCGGATTTTTCTTTCTGCAACGCATTATTTTCAATGTATGCGCATTCACCATGAAAAGCACTTTGGAAAAAGCAAGAATTTTGCGAGGCTATTTTGCTTTTTTTAGTGTAGGACCACTCGACAAAAAGCACTGTGCTTCCGATCGTATCCTAGGGCACGTCATAAAAAGAGCACGAGAGAAAGGGAGTTGGCTTTAGACCGCACCTTTTTGTCGGGTTGACGAGCGATGCGCAAATTGATTGTATCCTCTTTTTTGGCACACACAAACGAAATTGACTGAAACGTACGTGTTGAGTTTAGTTTTTGCTTCTCTTGCCTCACAGAGTTCTGTGAAAATGGGAAAACAGGTGCCGCCGACTAATCGTTTTAGTTTTAAATACTGAATTTTATTGTAAAGAAGCAGATGATTTCACTATTTTAAGGCAAAATAATATTTATTTTATTAAAAAAAAAGAAGAAAAATTCTCACAAAATACAATTCTCAAAACTAAGTTATTTAAAAAATGTTCAATATATATTTGCAATTTTTATGGCAATCAAATTCGGTAACATCAAAATAATCTTTAGCAAATCATTTTCTTTTTTATTTTCCATTTAAATATTTAAACAGCTTTTTAGAGCAAAATAACTTTGGCGAAAATTCTGTATAATAATATTCTACACAAAAGCAAATAATTAATTCTAATCAAGCCACTTATGTCGCCTGAAACTTTTAATCAAATTATAAATTCTAATTAAATTAAAAATATCGTTCATATCATTTAATCAACACCAATCTATTAACTTTATTCTTCTAATCAATAGTAAATAACTAATCTTGCAACAAATTATTTCAATTTGAGAGAATAATCTACAAGATATAATTCTTGTACCAGAAATTAACGGGACCATTTATTTTCAATGACCGCGATCTCCTCCTCGGGAGCCAATTGGCAAGTTATTTAACACGTATCAACTCCCACGCAGTTAGAATTCACACAAGTGTGTGGCGATTCGCGTCGCACTTATCAACGAAATAGCTTTTCGATGGTGTGATAAAATATTCGGCTCCTTTGAGCGTCAGGAAAAGCTGCCAACATTAATAGCAATTGAGAAGCAATTTTAATCTAATCAAGTGTGATTTATGTTTGCCGTGTTTTGCTTGGAGAGCTTCTTCTGACGAGCAGAAGGTATATAGGGAACCCGATTAACCTCCTCACGACAGTTCGCCGCAGACTTGTTGAAAACTTTGCCTGCAAGGTAGAGTGAGCTAGGGTGCGCTGTAATTACCCACCGACACCCTCAGTTCCTCCTAATTAGTTTTCCCTTCGTGAGGGCGCGGATATGAAAAGTAAGTTTCCTCGAGAAATTTTAACACGCCAGCCAAGGTGCACGAATAATGGATTTAGGTTAGAGTTAATTAGTGTAAAGATAATTGGGCGCACATATATGAGGTAAAAATTAACAAATGGTTCACGAACTTTTACTTGACGTAAATACCTGTTTCATAAATCGCTGACAGCAACTTTTAGTTTTCGGAGACCATCATGGAACACGGACTTTAAGACTTTTCAACGAAAATTTTATCAAATTATCACTCAATATTTCATCTCAATTATATTTTTTGAGAAATAATTATTTGTACTCTATTTAATTACATTTTATTTAATCGTTCACCAGATTGTGCTCCTATACAAAATATTTACACACAAACTTGTAGAAGGTAGAATTTTACTGAATAATTTTATTTTATTAATACATTAACATTTATTTTCCAGATTTTTAAGAAATTATAAAAGTCAAAACTTTAAAAATTAAATATTTAATGAAAAAAACTTGCCTGTTAATTACGGTTTCGTAATTTTGTACAATGTTAAATGTCTCTCCCCGCTCCTTAAATCATTCTGAAAAATAACCCCCCCCCCCCACATACTCAGATTTTCAGAGCAACTTGCATAGGAAACAAATGTGAGAACTTCTCCTACTCCATTATATTATATAATTAAGATAATTGCAGACGTAAAATTTCCGGATAAGAAAGCAAGAAATTCTAATTGAATTCATGAATTTGTGATTCGCAGAAACATTCCTGTGCACCGTTTTCCTTGCGTTGGTGGTTTCATCTCAGGCTTGGTCATGGTCATGGCTGATGCCATGGGGCAGCTCTGAGAGTGCAGAAGACTCTCCCTGGTGGGAGACCTTTGGCGGAGGTGGTGGAGGCTTCAGACCTCCCACATCGCCTGGCCCTACTGACCAAACAACAGCGGTAGATTCATCAACAACCGAAGGCCCCACAACAACTGAAGAACCTACAACAACTGAGGAACCAACAACTACTGAGGAACCAACAACAACTGAACCGACTACAACAGACTATCCTACAGAAGTTCCAACCACCACTGAAGATCCTTGGGGTCCGACAACCACTGAAGATCCTTTGGGTCCGACAACTACTGAAGAATCTACAACCAGCTGGCCAAGCTGTCCTACTCAAGAACCTTGTCCAACATGTGAGCCGGCAACCTGCCCTCCCGTCGACGAGTGCCCAACACCACCACCCTGCGATTGCTCCACCACTGATCTATGGTCTTCAACCTCCTCGGATCCAAGTAGTAGTCCGATTTCTTCATCTGCCACATCCGCCACACCTGCCGCGTCCACGCCAGCAGTTTCAGTGACCCCTGCTGACCCAAGCACAACCATAGCTCCTTTGCAGAGATTTTGCCATCCTTGCGTCCTTACGAGATGTTCTGTAAGTACCTGGGCACACCACGTGTACGCCCCAGGATCGTGTGCCCAGTTCTGCAAATGCGACTTTGACAAAGCGCTGCTGTTCGACTGTCCCAACGGTTTGCACTTCAACGCCCAGCTGGAGGTTTGCGACTGGCCGATCAGGGCCCAATGCACTATTCCTCAAACGTATCTGGGCGGCTGTGAAAAGCTGATGGACGAAACCGTGCACATGGGGCCTTATGACGTCAAGAAATAAAATAAATTCTCTGATTCCAATTTTAAAAGAAAAAAAAATGTGATCAAATTTGTGATATAAATTCCATGATTTTTTTACATTACTGTGTTACTGTCTCATTACAAGGCTAAATTGCAACTCTATTTGTGTAAATATATTATTGCAAACGTTGATTGTAGAGAATGCTTATATTTGCCAAAAATAATTTCCAAGTGTCAATCCCTATCCCCTATTTTAGCTTGCCAATAATGTATTTATTTTGAATCCACGTTGCTTAATAAATCATGAATAAATAATAAACAAATAAGGATTTGATCGAATAAATATAGTATTAAATAAAATGACATTATTTTCATAATTTGCATTTTTTGTTGTTGTTATTTTAGTTTTATTTAGCTAGGCAAAAAGAGTTTTTTTTTATATGGCAATTTTACAACAGGTTAATTATTAATTTCTCATATCTACGTTTTTTTCTTTTTGGATCAATTTTTTCAGTGATTTATTTAAGTTATTTAAAATAATAAATGGAGAATAAATTAATTGTTTGGAATAGAGCAATAAAAATTAAGGCATTAATTAAGAAGATTTATATCTGTTTACATATTTAAAATATAAAAAAATAACTTTAACGGAAATCATGCTATAATAAAGTTTGAAAGTTATAGAATAAATTTATATTTTAAATGCCTAATATTGTTCCAATCATGTTTGTCTGACCTAAAATCTACCAAATTAAATAATATTTCCCGATTTACAAATAATTTCGATAAATTTCTCAAATTTTAGATTTCTTTAAATTTATTTTAATAATCTCCTTGAGTTAGGCTTCCCGCTTTGAATTCCTGTTCGACGTAATGCCTACCCGGAGTTTGACAGGCGCTCGCGTGGTTGCAGTACCAGACTGGCGATTGCCTCTCTTTGGTGCAACATTCGCCCGCGAGATGGCTCTACGGGTCCTGTCGCATGCACTCGCGCATTGCGGCTCCGCAGCGAATCAGGTGTGCGGATCACATGTTATTGATGTTTTCGCTCGCTTCGGGAAGAAATTAATTCGGCCGCCGCGATTCGACGCGTTTTGCCTGTGATCCTCGCAATCGGCCGATTGAAAATGGACTGCCAGCCGAACGGCAACGGCATTCCGTTCAGCAAGAGCGGCGATAAAGACCAAGACAAGGTATATATTTAATCAGTTTTGAATTATTAAAATCTTTTTTTCCTTCAAAGTGGGAAATTTTAGGCGTGACCTAATAAATAAATTCAGGAAAAAACTATAATTACTTTCAGCTAAAATTACTTTTTAAATGAAAAAGATAACCTTTATTTGCTTTATTTGATACATTTTTAACCTGCGATCTCAATCGAATAATTAGTCATCCAGAAATTTCCCAATATTTGATCTGCGTGAGTCATCTCTGTCTCTCTTATGCGTATATTGATTTTTTGTTCCACAGAAGCTGCTGCAGCCGTTCGCCTACATCCTTCAAGTACCTGGCAAACAAATCAGAGGCAAATTGGCTCACGCCTTCAATTACTGGCTCAAAATCCCAGACGAGAAATTGGCTGTGGTCGGCGACATCGTACAAATGCTGCACAACTCGAGCCTCTTGTATGTGTTTCTTTTCCGACAGCAGGTCAAAGTACTTGAAGAACGTTCTATTTTCCGCAGAATCGACGACATCCAAGACAACTCCATTCTTCGCCGAGGCATTCCGGTCGCACATTCGATTTATGGCGTCGCCAGCACAATCAATGCCGCCAACTACGTTTTGTTCCTAGCCCTGGAGAGAGTACTTAGTCTTGGACATGCAGAGGTACAAATTGAACCTTTTTAGATAAAACAGAAATGAATTAAAATCAATTGCAGGCCACTTCGGTTTACACGGAGCAACTTTTGGAACTGCATCGAGGACAAGGCATGGAGATTTATTGGCGAGACAATTACACCTGCCCCACTGAAGAGGAGTACAGAGAGATGACGAAAAGAAGTGAAGATTGAATAGCTTGAAAGAGTTAAAATCAAATCTTTATTTATTACAGAGACTGGCGGTCTATTTATGTTGGCCATTCGACTAATGCAGCTCTTCAGCGACTGCAAGGCTGATTTTACTAAGCTGGCTGGAATTATCGGTTTGTACTTCCAGATTAGGGACGACTATGGAAACCTTTGTTTGCTAGAGGTATGAGTAGCTATTTGGATTTGAGGATTTTACAAAATCCAGAAATTTCAGTATTCCGAGAACAAGAGTTTCTGCGAGGACTTGACCGAGGGCAAATTCAGCTTCCCGATCATTCATGCCATCCATAGCCGCCCTGATGATAGACAAGTGATCCGTATCCTTTCAATTTAGAACAAAAACCTTCCAAAACAAACTCTAAAAAATTCCACAAAACTGTGCCTTAGATCAAGTGTTGAGCCAAATCAAAATTTAATTTTAAATTAATTAACTAATTTGTGGACTTTGCAACCATTATAATACTTGAGTTTTAATTTTTTTCTTTAATGATTTCCCAATTTAAATTCTGTTCTCATTTTATATTTAAAAAAAGTACCTTTAAAAAACTTTTATATAATAATTTTAGAAGTTGGTCGATAATGATGAATTTTAGTCAATTCGCTCATTTGTAAAATTTAAAATTTTCCTTGACCGTCGTTTTTAGATATCATTCGTCAGCGCACCAAAGATATCGAAGTGAAAAGATACTGCGTCAACCTGCTGGACAAGTTTGGCTCTTTTGAATACACTAGACAAGTTTTGGCTCAATTGGACAACGAAGCTCGTGACGAAGTGGCCCACCTTGGAGGGAACCCCTTCATGGAGACTCTTCTGGACGAACTCCTCAGCTGGAGGGACAACCCTGGGAGTCCGTTGAAAAGGGAGCGCTAATTCGAAGAATGCATTTCACTTCTTACGAGTCACACAATAATTACCAAACTTGTCTCTATAGATATCAAAATTCTAAAGTCTTACTTAGCTTGGATACCTAAAATGTCTATAAACTAGATGCCTTTGGAAAGTCTCAATTAAATCCTACAATATATCATAGCTGCCAAATGAAGTTATGTCAAGTCCTGCCACTACTAGCGGCATCGGTACTTTTGACTTGTGCTCAATCCAGGCAATCAGCTGGACTGTTAATTTTTATGATTTTCTCATCGAATATAGTTTTTGTAGATAAAGGAGTGTTTGCGATCTCTATTTGATTTCTTTTTCCATTTTTTAAAGTTTCTCTCTAGCACAAAAATAATTTCGAGCTTGAAATAATTACTGTCAACCCCGGAGCTGTCAAATGAATATGCATATCTCTATCAGCATGCCATCGTTGAATTATTCACGCTCGTTTGCATACACCGCTCTTGGCGAAATACCAAAATTTAATTAAACGCCGTAGCTTTATAATGAATGCTACTTTTGTCGCTATACTAAAATTGTAATCAATACTTTTCATCCGTACCAAAAGAGTAGATTAATTCTTATAATAATATGTAACCATTTTACAGGCAGTATTCAGCATTGATTGCATTTAATAATCTCAGTAAAAAAGCCTCAATTCCCTGCTGATTAAATTTTAAAATTATTAAATATTTATAATGCAATTATTATACCGAAAGATATGAGATCTGTTTTGTTAAATAATTTAAATGAAATAATTGCATATTTTTAACTAATTTTTGGTACTTTCTTGTGTTAATCATTTTTCACTCATCAAGTGAGCGACAATAACTTTTGACAATATGAAATTATTAAATTAAAATTAGGGAATTTTTAAATAAGCTCATATTTTGCATTCCGTTGTTTGGGCTCATTGCCAGTAAATATGATTTCAAAGGTTTTTTGTAACAAAAACTGTAACTAGTAGGCGTACGTGTTTCTTATTACTTTAAAAATGGTACTAAAATTAATCAAACTTTGGGTATTGAGACTAAATGTTAAATACCAATTTGAAAAATTTACTGAAATATTTATTGTAGCTGTAGAGCCGGGCGGAGTGATTTTGTCATAGAATTTTCAGAGTTTATAACCAGAAGAATAAATGCTTGTTAGCTGAATAATGTTTTGTTTAATTTTAACAATAATCAAAATTTCAACTCTCAGCAAATCCGAGTTGTGATTTTCATTGCAGCAGAACTTTATTTGCTCTATTCGAGCTGCGCAGTTCCGTAGAAACTGCAAAAGTCGGCAGTTAATTGTAAGGAAGCAGCCGTTGAGTATGTACGGCACGGATGTTTGTTTCCGTGTGCGGTGCACGGGTGGTGAGAGGAGGTTGTTGGGTGGTGCGCCCGGAGACCAGGAGGGGTAGCGGCGGCGAACCGCGCGGTTGGGGATAAGATGGAATGTACACCCTTCTTGTGTTGGACGGGGGTGGTGGTCATTCTTGCGTAGCGCAAATGACCAAGATATCACCACCGCTGCTGCCAGAGAGAAATTGTACAACGTTGATATGTACATATCGCATAATATACACGGCTCCATCTCTCTGCCCTATTTAAATATATGCGTATCACCCCTAGGAAGGGGTTTGTTCTCCCTTCCCCAGCAGCCAGTGTTATAATTCCTGCTGACCTCGGCGCTCTAATTTCGGTGCTGCTGACGAGAGCGCATAAATTATATCCTTTGCTTCGCCTGAAGGAGGTGAACATTTCAAGGTGCTGAATTTTCATCTTGTAAAAAAAGAACTTTATCCGTTTTCAAAAGTTTTTTTTCAAGAACCTTTAGAAATAAATATTAAATCTGGGTAAAGTGTATAAAGTAAAAAATGCCATTGGTTTTTCCCTCAATACAAACTAACATTTTAGCACTCCTCCTTTGATTAGAAATTACTTTTAAAATTTAATTTTTTTTTATTGCGCTCTTCAGATATAATTACGTTCTGGTAATTAATATTGAACTTCATTCCTGTGTAGTTTTTTTTTTGTAAATTTCCTCCATATTGTCTTACGATTAATCCAAGACGGGAAAACGATTTTTAAAATCTGATAATTTAATTTCATTCCAATTTGATACCAAATGATTCTTATTCTCGATTTTAAATTCAACTTACTCACAATTTCTTTTACAAAAATCATCTTTAAATCACATGCAATAAACACAAAAACCCTTTATATATAACTCAAATATACTTCAAATTTTTGCAAAAATATAACAAATATCATTATTGGAGAGTAAAAAGAGTAAATTGTTGAATAAATATTTTAATTAAAAAAATTGTAGTAGACAAGATTAAATTTTGACGTTTACTATAACAATTTACCAATATCAGTTTCATTTATTGTTTTTACAGAATCCACTGATTGTACTCAGATTATTTTTCAATATAAGTTCAAATATTTACATTTATAGCAGAACAATATTCAACTGTAATCTCTGCTTGAAATAATTATCTGAGAAAATATGTACTTCATTTTGTCCATCGTACCCTTTCTGCTAAAACACTCTAATTTCAAATATTAAGGCCGGGTGCTGCACATCGTATTACAGCGGTGTCAATGAACTAATGGGTGTTGAGCAAAGGGGGTCAGTTTGCCTGTGTAATGTGCCTGCAGGCGCTACACAAACCCTACACTGCCTGCTAGAGATGTATGCGCTCAATATGAGTGGTCGGAGGAGGTGAATTAGTGTGGCCAGCAAATCCCCTATATCCTAGACCGTGATGGTGAGGCCGTGTTTGAAGAGATTTGCGGATTGAGAATTAGTTGGGGCAGCTGGCCTTGTTCAAACGCAAGTTCTCTAGCTCGTCGTGTTCTCTTCTCATCGACAAGGCCCTTGGATCATGAACTTTGAGTAATTACACCCGAGAGTCTATTAAATATTAATTCAACGCGACGATAATCGCAAACAAAAAGTTCCAAAAATTCCTCGGGGTCCGGTGACTTCAATCAGATCCAATTATATTCTCGGGAGGTAAAAATCCACTCGCTTTGTTCTCCCCCTGGCCTCTGCGCTCTCCAATTTTTGGTGCAAAGAAAACGGTGCGTCTGTCCCTTTTGTCATTTGTCAGCTGCGAAAAAGTCTCTTTCTCTTCGCGGTTCCTGGGGAGTTTCCACATTATTTTGGCTTTAGAAAAGGGATGTGAGAGAGTTTTTTCCAGCAGCGAATGTGACAGCGCAGTGTGTTTGCGGCAGGGAAGAATTGGGAAATAAAGGCACGCCTGGGAGAAAATAAGACGTGTGCCTCTCGCACGGTCGGAGTAAAAAAGGATCGGAATGAAAGCAAGTGACACCACCAAGAGAGAGACAGAGTTCCTTTGATCTTATTGTGTGGAATTAATTAATGAGAGACTTTCTTATCATCTTTTTTTGATATAAAATTTTCAAAGGAGCTTTATGAATTAGAGGTTTCTCTACTTCAATAACCAAATTGAGTTATTTTTGGAAGGATCAAAAGATTTTTTTAACCAATGAAATTAATCTGTGTCCATTTAATTATCATGCAGAATTTATGAATACAATTTCTTTTTCTAAATTATTTTTTTGTTTCAAATATTTGCCAATTACTAAGTTATTATTTCCTAAAACAAATACATACGTTAGGAATAAAATTTAGCCTTGTTTATATTAAATACATAACTCATGTATTTTGTTTATATTTTTCATAATAACAATGAATTTTGCCATGAATTTTTCGAATCAGAGTTTAGAAAAGATTAAAGCTACACAAATCTCCAATAAAATGTGAAATTCACGATGTATAAACTTTTCATTTTTCATTTCTCTTTCGCCGCAAGCTCCTTTGGGCTCAGGAGAGTTGCCAAAGCATCGCTTTCAATCTGCTTCGGATCTCAGAGAAAATCTTGTGCAACTTTTCTACTCTGCGCCGCTGAAAGAGAATACCTGCTTCTGCAAGCTCTCTTGAGAGGAAGATTCATCAGGACTCTAGCGGGACGCGGACAGAAGTAATCCATCCATCTTTGATATTGAACTAGTCGGCGGAGCGCAAATCCGCTTTAAAAGAAAATTCCATAAAAGCTCCGGCGTTCGGCGACGGCGGCTGCAAATGCGTCCGACGCGAAACGGGCGTAAAAACTTTTTGCAGCTTGCAAGTATAATAAAATATAAAAATTTTATTCTCCGCGCCAAAATGTAGAGCGTGAGAGGGAGAAAGAATGAGCGAGAGACGCCCTGCAGCTCCTGCCATATTTACTTGCGCCGCGCTACCCCCTTTTCATAAATAATAAATTCGGCCAAGGTGCTGTTGCTCCTGAAACTAGCTCTCTTTCTTTACTGCTTCGGGCCGTGTTACGAACCGGGCTATGCGAATTTATGAATTATGAACGGCGTGTAGCTCAATTTTTGCCGCTTCGGCAAATTGCAGCGCTAAATTTTCAGCAATTTATCTCGCAGCGCCAACTCTCTGTCGCGATTTTTATATTCCGAGGGGCAGACCGAGGAGAGAGTTGTATAAAACGCCCCCCGGAAAAGTAGGATCAGCGCCTTAAAAGCTAGAGAAATATATGGCCGATGGTCATTGGCGCTCGTAAATCTCGGGATAATACTTTTTCTCTCACACGCTCACGTGCAGCTGCAATGAGGCTCCTTTTACTTCATCTATTTGCCGGCTCGCGTAGTCTCTTGTGATGAAAAATTTATGTCTGTCGGCGCGCGAGAGATTCGTCCAACGCGAGTTTTCAACGTGATTTGATTTAGAAAGCCACCGATTCTTGTTGATATGTTTTGATTCAATTTTCATTCACAGACAGGGAAATTTAAGGAAATTAAAATTAGCAACTTAAATCTCTTAATTGAGATACATCTTGATTAAATAAAGAATATTTGCTTTTTCAAACAAGTTAAAAAAATTTCAACTTATTTATGGTTCCAGACTCTCGCAGACATAGGAATTATGCTAATTTCCAAATAAACTCATCCAAAACAATTGTCGACAAAGGGAAGCCTTTCTGCTGATAGACTCTCTCGACGGACTCCATTGTGCGTGTATGTTAATGTACATCCCCTTGTGTGCAACTGCGGTACGTTTACGCGCTCATAGGGTTGCATTATTTGCTCGAGCACTTCGACGCCACGTGTTATTGTTATTTGGAGAGAGCTGCTGTCCTCCGCAAATAGAGCGTGGCGGCGGCAGTCAAAGAGGCCTGAATTAACCTCTGTTGCAAACTACACATGCGAGAAGACTCAAGTATACAGCATTCATGATGTGTTTAGCTCTATTTCATGTAACAAAGACCAGGTTACTTTTTTTTCACTAATCAATACCAGCCGAGGCACTACAGGGCTTAGAACTTGCATTAGTTTAAAATTTTGTTGTAGAATTTGACCGAGCGAGTTGAATTTTGATGGCAGGGGGTTTTTAAGTCGTTTATTTTGTCAGAAAAACAGCAGGAAATTGTTTTTCTGAAACAATAAACGACTTAAAAAACCATCAAGGAAAAGCCGACTTATAAAAATTAAAAATTTTTCTTCAACAAATGTTACGAGATGGATTGTTACGCTTTGTTATCTTTCGTAGTAATCACGTCATCTGAGAGATAGCGAAGGAAAATGTATTCTCCATTTTTACTGCTTACATTATATAGCAGAGTGGATGGTAAAATATTCACGAGCGGCTGTAAAACAAGACGGAGAAAAAATTTTCACAGCGCTTCGATAAACAAAAATGTAAAGCACAAAAGTTGCTCTTCGTTCAATCAAATATGAATTCTCTCAACTGAATTGGCGTATATAGTTGGAAAATAATTATTCAATGGCTCTCTGGCGACTGTTCTGCATCGCAACGAGGGTCATACTCGTAACGTTCGTGACAAACGCCCTTAAGTTTCATTTCTAGCGGCCCAGAGTGATAATTCTCTCAATCCTCCCGCGGCCAATGTTTTCACAGTCATAGCTAGTACAGCACAAGTAGGACAAAATATTTTCTTAAGTACTCTCTACACTAAACGCACTCGGCCCCATTTTTCCAGGACGCTTTAGTTGCGAGTGGAAAATAAAATGTGATCAATACAAAGGGAATTGCAGCGCAACGAGACCTCCTTACTTCGAGTGCGGAGGATGCTATTGTGTTTGCTTCCAATTGAGAGCTCTGCTTTTCTCGCGAGATGTG